TAAAGACTATATTTATTTCACCGATTTGAGTTTAGAATTCGAGTTTTATTATAGTAAAAAAATTTAAAAAAAAATCACATTTAACTTTTTTACTACAGTAAAAAGCTCTCACATAAAGTCATATCTCAATTCTAATTAAAAGCTCAAATCAGTGAGATAAACGGACCCAAAAACTCCACAACGTTAAAAAATTTATGCATTAAGTCAATAATGTGACTTGCGTTATAGGCGGACCACGTCACCTAAACCCACTAAAAGTTAATGAATATTGAATTAGTAACTTGAAAGTAGCTCTAGAGCTCCTAAAGTATACAATAATGTATCCCTTAACAATGTTAAATAAATTTGTTAAACGATACTTTCATAGTGTATAATTAAATTAAAGCAAGATTACAACAAAGCTTAAGTCGCTATCATGGTAGTTACTCGATTATCGGTTCAAAGAACAATGCTATATATGTGTGTGTCATTGAACTGTGAGATGGGCAATAAATTATTAATTAACAAGCTAAAGGTTTCTTGACATTAGAAAAACTGATAATTTGAAAGGAAAAAAAAAAAAAAAGAGAATGTGAATTTTTAAGTAGTGGACCCTGCCTTTTGATGGAATTAGATTTAGATAGTATACAAATAGTTATCCCCTATATTTTAGCTAAACCACATTTGTTATTAGATTTTTGATAATTCAAATATATATATATATATATATATTGTTTTTGAAAACAGTTGACAACAACCTTTTTAAAAAAACATAGATTTTCGTTATTAATAAAATAATTTCTATGCATAAATTGAGTTCTCTCTCTAATTTACATCGCTTAGGTTTTGTTATTTTCTTTAGGGATAAAACTATTTTGGTACCATATATTATAGTCAAACACATTTTTAGTATCCTGTATTGTTTATTATATTAAAGCGCATCTCCAAGTTCTTAAAAATATCTTCTTAGTATCTTGAAATTGATTTTTGAGATGCAAAATTATATTAGTACCATTCTATTTAATTAGCAAAAAAATTAATAAATACAGAAAAATATTAACTTTTTTATTTTGTTATTTTCTTTTACATATTTTAGTGTTCAAAAGTATTTTCAGATTTAGCTCACAATGAGTTGTAGCTTTTTAGCTCACAAGTTTGTCCTATAGCATGAACAAACTAGTGAGCTAAAAAACTCAATTAGTACAAATATTCCTCTCAAAAAAAATTTCAAACATAACGACATAATAGATAATGAATGACCATTTATGCTTCATTATTGAATATCCATTTATCATTATTAGGCCCTATGCATATGCTCAAATGCGCAAGGCCATGGGATGGGGAGTGACCTAATCATTTAGTCCGACTACCCTAAGGCCATCATTAATTTTATTAGTTATAAATCTCTTTAAAATTCAAAGACAATTATTCTCTCATTCAACTCTTAAGATTTGATACGGTGCTTAGATCTTTATTATCTTAGCTTTTTGTTATAATAGACATGTGATTATAATCATGTCATAAAACATTAATAATGCAACTTAAACTTAAGAGGCAACATACTTAAAACATCATCATTATCATTCATGATATACACTTATTCATCAATCATGGAAAACGGATGCACACAAAGAAATTGATACAACAACACGGCTTTTAAAACTATTCACATTGAAGGTGAGGTTTATTCGCTGTCAGTTTATTATAGAATTTTCTAACTCATCTCATTTAACTCATCTTATGAACACTCGTTAGGATTAGTTAATTTCATTAACTATAATTTCTTAACTCATTTCACATTTCTAGATTAACTAATGAATTTTAACTTATCAGTTAGTCAATCTCCCATTTAAATTTTATGAACCGACTTAGGTTAATTACTCTTTTCTAATTATTTACTCATATGTTGACGTTAATTAATTAATTATCTCATTAAATCTTACTATTTTGATCAATTAATAATTAATTAATTAATTAATCTAATAATTGCTATTACTTCATTCTAGAGTCTGGAATTAATTAGGCTGTGTTCCTGTAAGTACGCTCGTGATTTACCTTTAAGTTAATTTTTAAGCCCAAACATTCCTAAGGATAAGATTTGGGCTTTATGGGCTTGAAATTTGACTAACTACCTAGTAGCTTTCTCTAGGTCTACCTAGAGGTTACCTCATTTTTTATTTGGGCTTTTAGGATTGGATATCATCTTAGTATTCTAGTTGGGTTCCTTAATGGTCAACCTATGCATTACCCTGCCCATTATTAGGGGGGAGAAAGAAAAAAATAGGCCAAGACTTGAGATGAATTAAAATTAATAGGCCAATAGTTTACATAAGTTAATAAATAGGCCAAATTACTGTTTTCGTCCATAACGTGTCTAGTTATGAACCATAACTTGACAAGTTATTGTCCATAATTGTCCATAACTTGTCTGGCTATGAATCATAACTTGACAAGTTTGTCCATAACTTATATAGTTATGAACCATAACTTGACAAGTTATGGCCTTTTAATTTCTATAACTAAAAATTGGCCTATATACTTTCTTAAGCTTTTCATATTGGCCTATTTTCTACTATTTCCCTTATTAGGGCACTTGGGCCCATATGAACCTCTTCACTTAATTAGGCCTATCAAATGGTCGTCTCTGGTCTTCTAAGGCTTTTAGCTTGATCTGGGTTTCTCGGTTCCTGATGGACAGTTTTACATTTAGAAAAATTATCGTTTTATTCCTAGCAGTTTTGACGATTCCAAATCGTAAACCTAGGGCTTTATTATACTAAACTTTCTGCCCTCAAGAACCTTGAGCTAAAGCTTGAAACTCGGTGTCCGTTTAATCTTTCTACCCTTTTACAGTCAAATGACCGTTTTGTCCCTAACGGCTATCCAAGTGACCTTAGGATTCTACTCTCGACTTATTGAGTTTTTTATTGCTTAACTAAGGTTCTAAAATCATTTTAAAGAGAGTAATTCTGAATTTCTCAGAAATTACTATTCTACTCCAAAAGACGGAAATTTTGACGTTTTTACCTTTAGGGTCGGTTTTGACGTCTCTTCACCAACAGACTCATCTTAACACAAGGACCAAAATGTTAATTGGTCCTAAGGCTAATTTTAAGTGTAAGGACTATTTTACACTCGTATAACGCATTTTCTAAAAGCGATAACTTTTTATAACGACAGAATCTAGAAAAAAACTTAAAATATAAAAATTTCTCTATTAATCTAGATCTACAACTTTGTTTTATTAGCCTAACCATAGTTCTACTTCTGTCTAGGACATCAAATTTTCGTTTTTCTACACTTAGGGGCATTTTCATCCACTTTTTGTTTTTAAACGCTTTCGGACCTGGTCCAAACTTTCCAGATTCCAATAAGTTATATAATTAGCGGAAATAGTATAAAGTAGACCAATATAAAAAGCTTAAGGAAGTATATAGGCTAACTTTTAGTTATAGAAATTAATAGACCATAACTTGTCAAGTTATGGTTCATAACCAGATAAGTTATGGACAAACTTGTCAACTTATGATTCATAGCCAGACAAGTTATGGACAAAAATCGTGAATTATGGACAATAACTTGTCAAGTTATTGTTCATAACCAGATAAGTTATGGATAAACTTGTCAACTTATGATTCATAGCCAGACAAGTTATGGACAAAAATCGTGAATTATGGACAATAACTTGTCAAGTTATGGTTCATAACTAGATAAGTTATGAACATAAACAGTAATTTGACCTATTTATTAACTTATGTAAACTATTGACCTATTAATTTTAATTCATCTCAAGTCTTGACCTATTTTTCTCTTTCTCCCTATAATTAGTAGCTTAAAACCCATAGTTTTATGCCATAACAACCTTTTATCACTTCATAACTTAAAACTCACATAAATTAGTTGAAATAACATTTTTCCACAAGACTGTTGTTAGTCTACCACATGTTTGTGTCTTTTAGTTTATTTCCATGTTTCCAACATTTTAAATAACAGATTTGTAACATAAAAAAAAAATGCCCATACATGCTCACATAGCATACTAACACAAAGCATGATCTCTAGAAAACTTTTCTAATAAAAATAACAACTTTCTTCCTTACTAACACAAACCCGTTTTTGTTTTTCACGTTTTTTGAGAAAAAAAAATGAAAACGTTTTCAAAACGGCGTTTGACACAATAAAAATAAAAAACGGAAATGAAAACGATTTTTTAGTTTAGTGTAAAATGAAAGAAATAAAAAATGACTTTTAATCATTTTTTATTTTTTGTTTTCATTTTCTCCTCTTGAGAGAGATATTAATGAAATTTTTTACACTGAAAATAATCTCTTGATAAAACTACTAAACGTATTTTCAAAAATAATTTATGCATGAGTAAAATGTTTTCATTTTCATTTTCATACAAAAAATAAAATCATTTTAAAACGAATTCCAAACGTGTTGTATGCCAAGAGTCCCACATCAATTGGAAACGGGAGCCTGGAAAGGTATAAGTATCCCAGGTTCAACCCCTCCTACCAGCGAAGCGCCTTTTACAAAGGGACAAAACCCCACGCGTCATGGCGGGCCCAAGTGGGGACAATACTTCACCGGTGGGCCATCAGTGTGAGAAATTCTGGTATCAACAATTGACGCCGTCTGTGGGAAAGTTTGGCCACGGCCTGCCTTCCCAATCCCCCGACTCGGGGGGCACTGTTGTATGCCAAGAGTCCCACATCGGTTGGAGACGGGGGCCTGAAAAGGTATAAGTACCCCAGGTTCAACCCCTCCTACCAACGAGACGCCTTTTACGAAGAGACAAAACCCCACCTGTCACGACGGGCCCAAGTGGGGACAATACTTCGCCGATGGGCCATTGGTGTGTGAGAAATTCTGGTATCAACAAAACGCACTCTAAAAGGTGGTGTTTTTTAAGAGGGGAAAGACTAAAGGGTAGTTAAGGAGTTTCTGTAATTCCAAAAAAAAAAAAAAAAGAGAAACCATACGAATGAATACCACAACAAAATGCCCAGAAAATAAAGTTTGACACAATTCAAGATTTCCTCCATTAATCAAAAGCACTCTCTGGTCCACCTTTAAACATGATTGAGGAATTCAACGTTTTTCAACAGGCAATTTATAAGAGCAAATATCAATTGGCAATGAAAATCTACCAATCATGTCCCGTTAACACTTCTTTCAATGTGTTCTAACAGTCTCACTGATACTACGAAGAATTAATCTAGACACAACTTAGTCCGCATCCATTTCTTCCAAAGCCGCTTTAGCGGCTGCCTTTGCTTCCTCCAACAGCTCCTCTGGAACCTGGAAAACTACAAAATTCTCAATGCGCACAAAGGCAGATAATTTGCAGAAAAGGTAAAAAGAAAAATGAATCACAACAAGTCAGATCAATGCACAAATCATATGCAAAACCAATGGCGCGCACAATTTTTATTAATCGGGTATGGGGGACAATGTTAACTTCCAATAAACAAAAGAGAGTTGATTTTGGAAGCTCGACTGGAAAATTAAAGTTGACGAATTGGGGCTGCAAAGAGTTAGATTTGAGGGTCCCTAAAAATAAAATGGACAAAACAAGTTCCGAGAGAACATGTTTGGTTTAATATGTCAAAGAAAGCGATTATAAATATCCTGCGTAATGTACATAATCGATAACAGTAGCAGATATCATAGACAGAGATGAACAGTCAGGATCTCTTTGCATATTCTAGACCTCTTCCCCAAGCGCATGTCACAAATGATACAAGTGATGGTTTCCCGAACCCTTTTATCTCAAGCTAAGTTAATGGATTTCTAGTAATCTCGGAGTACTGCGTGCTAGAATGAATCCTTTAGAGTCCTAAACTACCTCTAAAGAAATTAAAAATAAAACTGGCTATATCATGAGCTTCCCATGTCAATCAAAAGTAATTACCTTCTTATGTTGCCGGTTTGATTCATCACAGACCCAGCTCATTTCCAATTCAAAGTCCTTGTCCTTCGCTTCATCATGTATTCCATAGATGCTGCTCGGCATTAGTTAAAAATGCAAGTATTAGCATGCAATCAAGCCCAACATATATAATAAAGATAACAGAAACTGAAAGGCATTCTTACAAATTGTTATTTTTACTACGTCCCCTTGATGGTATGATTCTCAAAACAGTAAACGCAAGATGATAAATGAAATATTTCCAAATGTTCGAATGTTAAAGTAAGGGGATGGGCGCAAACTGCTTTTTCAAAGGATAGGACAGATAAAGCTTAGAGTAGCTAATCTGAAAATTTAATACTCCTGAGCCTTATTGTTATTGCAGCTTCTCTGATTTTTCCAAAGCATTTAGGAATTACCATTGGTTAAAGCAAAGAGGTATTGAAGTTCAACAGTGTAAGAGCCAAACTGAATACTCACAAATACCATACATCAAGTCTTTACATGCAATGCCAAAAAATAAAAATAAAAATAAAAATAAAAATAAAAATAAAAATAAAACCTTCAAAAGGATTAGACTTCGGAGTTCATATTACCATTCATGTAATAACAATAGCTCACCCATCAGCATCATCTTTTTCGCAAAGATAGAAGTTAACAAAATTTATGGGGTTTTCCACCAACTTTTTAGTTCCCGACGTTAGAAATAAGCAGCTAGAAAATTTCATCATAATGTTAACTAAACAAAGGATAAAGTAACATTCATAAAAAAAATGCTACTCACATCTTGGCAACTTCAACGACACCTTGCCGGCAAGTCAATTCAGAAAGCTTCAACTTTTCAATTTCTCTGCCAACAGATAAAATACATAAACTCCCCAGATCCACATTTAGAACACAATCAATATCACTTTACATGTGTATGAAAACTACAATTATCTAATCTAAATTAAAACAAGACACAAAAAATACGAAGGACATAAATAAAACATGTAAACCAAAAAACAAAAGATAAAAATGTCTACAACATGATATTAAAAGACAACTACAAGACTGACTATCACAAGGCATACACATTTGGTTAAATAAGATGCTCCCACCTCGGAGTATAAAAATGCAGTGAAAGGTGGTATGAAATGCAGCCTTTAGTTTTTAGCCATGCATACAACTGTCTTATGCTGAAGCAGACCCAAGATAAATTTTACATACATAGTTCAAGATTTCAAGCATAAAATACCATGAAAAGTGTTAGACCTCCGGTACAGAAGGTTTATGTTAGGAGGGCCAAGAGAGGAAATGAGATGGGCCCAGGCCCAAATGAGATGGATCAGGAAGGGAGCGTGGCAAGCACGAAGGGCCCATATGGGGGAGGTGCGCGAAATTGGTTAGAGGATCGGTGGTTATATGGGGAGCATCAAGGGAGGGGAGAGGTATCGAATTTGGTGCTGGAATTGATCACTGGGAGGTTGTGGGATTCCTCGAAAATCCCTCTTCATCTTTCTTTCCTGTATTCTTGCATTTCTGGTATTCTTCCTTCGTTTTCACTATCTTCAGAGCTATGATGAAGCTCTTGATGTTATTGGAGTAATTTGAATTCAATAAAGAAGGCCATTGCCACTTTTCAGTCAACTTTTGTTAGCTAAATTCAGCAGTAGTGACTAGAATCCTAACAAAAAGAATAAAAATAGTTAAATGATGACACAACATAGGATTCAAGACAACGCACAAACTTCGATAAGCATGCACTCTTCACAAATTAAGAAAAAAATGATTCTGCAAGCATATAAATGAGTTCGCACTTTCCAGCATAAAACAAAAGCACTTTGCAGAACATACATCTATTCAGTATTACAGATAAGGTAACGGTAAACAAATCACACTATAAGTTCCTAATTATGAACTCTATTCATATAAAAAAAAAAAAAAAACGGCTGGGAAATGACAATGTCAAGACATCTAGCACCCTTCTGGAAATTGTGCTCAGCTTCAGTCTTCACATTTGCTTACTGCTACATATATCCTCTTGGCAAGATGTATTTGCATGTTGACAACGAAGAATCTAAACGCCATGCAGATTTGACACTAGGAGGATATAACTAAAAACACTAGTTCCCACAAGTCAAGTTAAATGAAGCATGTCTAGTATGAATGTACAAAACACATGCTGTACCAAATTCAATCAATTTTAAAAGCAAAATCTTAATTTGATACTTTAAGATGTTCTTACATGCAAGGGCAGCTCTGGAATTTAACATAATTCTTCCGCAGAAATTAGTATTATGCACTATGTTGGGCCTATAGATTTTTCAGACTCAAGAACAGAATATTAATTGAAAGTGGGGCAAATGTCTCTTTCAATTTCCACACTTTTGTCGTACTATCACCAGTTGCATCCACTGCCATGGAACAATACCAAAAGGCTTCAGAACCTATCTGCAGCCAAACTGTTATCATTCTATTGCTATCCTCTTCATTTGATTCATACAAGAAATAACAAAAATCTTTTATGGCAGTGAAATGCTCAAGATCCAAACTCCAGACCAGCCATCAGAGCACACCACATAACCCTATGCATACAAGTATCCTCATCTGTCGTGCCTAGATCAATACGTATCAAATAGATGTTATAAAAATATAGCAGATCTGAAATCAGACATACATGATGGCAACATTTGACCCCGACTTTTAGCATACACAAGTATCTCTTCCTGATTGGTTCAACCAAACAAAAAACAAAAACAAAAACGAAAAAAGAAAAACAAACACAAACACAAAAATGAAGCAAAGCAAAGAGAAAATGTAACAAAACAAAAGCGGCATGAATTCTTGAGAAAAGGTAGCTACTTTTCAGTAGGATCTGGTACAGAAAACCAAGAGACTATTGGGGAATTATATAGAAGGATACATTGCAAGAGGTGGAAATTCTAGAGTCTTAGAGCCATCAGCTAATAAATTAAAAAACTAATTTCTTTTGAACAACCAAGATATGTGTACCCCCACATTAAACATAATTATCGAGATAATAAAAAAAAAAGTTTTGCTTCCTTTTGTCCTCTCTCTTCATCTGACAGGGGGAAAAAATATCGTTCACAGAAGTATTCTTATCTTAACATCCTCGTATGTATAAAATACTCTAAGATTTTTTTTCCTTTTTCCCCTTTCTCTTGTAATTCTACATTAATGAAGATCAAAATCAGTAAGTGGCCTATTAGGACCCCTCAATAACTTGGGATTAGTTTAGTTAGTGGGCTGGTAGAGTTAGTAAGGAATTAGTATAAGAGTCATTGTATTTGCACTCCAGAAATTCAGTAATACCCCCACTAATTTATAATTTATGTTTATTACAATTTTACCCTGTACTAATATTACATTAAAACCCATTAATATATCCCCACATTAACTATAAATGGAAATTATAATTTTTCCAAAGAAATAAATGAGTATGCACCTACATTAACTATAATTAGAAAGTAATATTTAATGGAATGAAGGAGTACTCCCACATTTCTAGTTAAAGCTAATTTCATCTTCATAAACCCTAAAATTTTCTCCATCGAATTCTTTGACAATTTAAATGGAGGTTGAGATTGAGAAGGAAAAAAAAAAGTCTCTTGAAGAACAAATGTTAAACAGATATCAATTCACAATATGCACAATTACATATGGATTTCTTTCAATTTGGGTTAAAGTAAGACATACGCTTGGTGAAAGCCGTTGTTGCAGATGGAAATTGTGGTTTTCAAAGGAGGAGGAAGAGATAAGACGAAGATAGTTAATAAATAAAGGTAAATGGATTTTTTTTTTTTTTTTGTGTTTTGATAAAAGGTAAATGGAATTGCAAGATTTTTAAAAAGAAAATATAATATTAATAATTGAAAGATATTATATTATTTTGTACTCAAATCAAGATTAAAATTATAAGTGGAGGTATGAGATGGTTAATTAAGTATAATGAAATTTATATCTATAAAGGAACAAATTTTTCAAATTTTAATTAGAAGATTATTAATTGGCGGGGGTATTAATAAATTCTTGGGGTGCATATATAACACTCTTAGGATAAATAAGGGGGTTAGTAGGTCATGAAGGGAATTCAGGGCTTGGGAAACCAATATTAGGGAAAGCTCATGGTCTCTTGAATACCACCATAGTTAGGTTTTCTTGTACTATTTTAAAATACATTAAGGGCATGTTTGTTCGACTGTATTAGAGCCCCGTATTATATAATAACACATTAATACAATGTTTGGTGTGACCGTCATATTGTATAAACTAATATGAAAGGTAAATTAATATGGTCTATGTCGTATTATTTAATACGGCTCATTTTTTACATATTGTATCGTATTATTTTATAGCCAATCCATGATTTATGTCGGGGTCGAGGTCGGGTAGGAGCCTATAATTATTTAAAAATTGTGGGGGCATAATTCAAATTTATATTTTCTAAAAATTACATTTGACCCCTCAATAATTACAAAATTTCATTTTGACCCCAAAATTTTATATAAAATCAAATTTTGACCCATTAATTTTACAAAAGTACATTTTAACCCAAAATTTTTACAAAATTACATTTTGACCCCTTAATTTTTTATGAAATTGCAGTTTTTTACCCCAAAACTTTTGAGAAAATTTTTTTTTGAAAATTTTACATTTCAACCCTAAAATTTTACATTCTGATCCCATGTACAATACATCATGAGACCAAACACCGTATTGTATAATGACAATACAACACAATACAAAACACCTCATACAATACAATACGATACAAGCTATCAAACATGGCCCTATTCTGCTAGACATTGCTAGGATCCTATCAATTAGTATCAAAGCATGATCTCGGTATCATTATCCAAACCTATTTTAAAAAGATATATATATATATATATATATTATCAAAACCTGTTTGGAAAAAGAAGGGAGAGCGTATGGAGTCGTTGGGGGCGAGATTCGATCAGCTAACGAAGTCCGTGGAAGAGGCAAGGTAGAATCAAAGCCGGCAAGCACTGCTAGAGTCGGAGGGAACGCGACTAAGATAGTTATCGCGCATGGTCGTTGAAACCTTGAACGATTTTTTCGCAATCTGGTGGTAGGTGGACCAGATATGAGGCGATCGAGCTGTGTTCAGAGATTTCGATCTGGTTTGGACCTAGTCACATGATTGTGTCATGGGTGGGTACAATTCCGGCCGATTTTGGACTGGGTCCGTGATTTCAGTGCGTTTGAAGCTAATTCCAAACGAATTAAAATTGGGTCACGCGATTCCACTATAATTGGGCAAGATTTCGGCGAGATTTAGGCTGCTCCTGGCAAGATGAGGGCTGGGTCTCGCAATTCCATCATGGTTCGGGCTGATTCCAATGAGATTAGGGGTGGGTCTTGGAGTTCTGGCATCTCCCGAGCCAATTTCAGAGCTGTGGCGGCTGAACGTCGCACTTCCTGCAAGATTGAGGCTAATTTTAGCGTTATTGGAGCTCTATCTCGAAATTCAAGCAACATTTGGGGCGGGTCCTCAAAATTTGGAGATTCACGATGAGATTTGGGGGCTGATCCTACGGTTTTTCGATCTGATTTGGGTAAGGTAAATAGAGTTTCATCATCAAGTTGGGTAGGAGGCCTAGTTTTTCAAACAAGGAACGGGAAAGGTGGGACTGAACGTTAGTTTGTTGTATAGGTTGACTGAAAGAGAAAATATCTGGGCTGTGGAAGAGGCTATGGAGGTTGAGCCATTGGCTTGGTATCAATGGCAGGATGGTCGTCGGCCGTTCTGCAGTTGGGATGAATTGAAGGCTCAATTGCTACAACGGTTCCAATCAACGCAAGAAGAGACCAATCATCGGAATTTCTTGGCGAAAGAGCAAGCGGATTCCATGGCTGATCCCGAACAACAAATTGAGGTACTTGCCAAACCTTTGTAGAGAGATTTCAAGTTCGGTTTTAGAGAGACATGCCATTACCAAGTTGAAAGTGAGTAAAGAGCAAGGAGTAGGAAGTTCAATTGGGTTGCTTTCAGCTCAAACAACAGGTTTTCTAAATCAAATGTACATAGAGTTTCTTTCAACGAATCTCGTTGGGAAGGAGGATGGAGAATGAAGATGATTTTCAAACTGATGCCAAGAATGAGGGGCTTTAAGATATGTGGAACAAGATGCTAACAATATCAAAATTCTCTAAGGATGTTCCTAAGCCTTCAATAGATGCACCAGAGAAAGAAGTTAAAGGAGGTGATGAACATTCTTGTATTTTAGAAGATGACCTTGGTCAAGTCAGTGGCATTGATGGGGTTCTTGACAATGGAATTGAGAATTTACATCTGCAAGGCACCTCCATTGCTTGTGATCTGAAAAACAGTGAGCAAGATAAAGCTTTTGAGGGGAAAGTGTCTGTTATACACAATTAGTTTAAGATGATCAGCAAGCTCTTGCATTGTGACATTGTTGAATTTGTGGATGGGCTTCTTGATTTAGTTGATTTCACGGTGGTTCTCTCACCAGAAGTATGAAGTTGGAAAAATAAAGAAGTTGACAAGAAATTTGAAGCAAGAATTGTGCAAACCATTGAGTTAATAAAGTCAGCTGCTCCGTTTGACGTTCCTAGATCCAAGCTCATCGAGATAGGAAGTGGAGTCACTCGGCTTCTATGACTTAACACTTGAGAACAAGGTGTTTCTTTGGGGCGAGGGTAATGTTGGGACCCATTAATAACTTGGGATTAGTTTAGTTAGTGGGCTGGTGGAGTTAGTAGGAATCAGTATAAATAAGGGGGCTAGTAGCTCATGAAGGGCTTGTGTCTGTTTTGTCTATGAATTTGAGATTTTGTTCGGGGATTGGGAAACCAAGATTAGGGAATGCTGGTGGTCTCTCGAATACCACCATTGTTAGGGTTTTCTTGCAATCAATTCAATAAAGATTCAGTCATTTGTTCACTATTGTTCTAGAAATTGTAAGGATCCTACCATGGCCCAAATCAAAGCAACAAGCCACTACACCAACTTTCTCGAAAAGCATGAAATTGGGTACCCAATCAAGAAAGCTCCGAAATGAACAAACTACGATGCATATGCTTCCAAAAGGGAGTAGAACAGAATGTTAATAAGCTATGCCCAAATTGACGGCATTAGAAAATACTTTCTTGAAACGGGTGGAAAACATATACTAGCAAAACTCTAGCTGAAAACAATTGAATACTTCAAACTTACGTTTTAGCAGCTTGCCTGCCCTTCCCAATTGCAGCACCAAAGTACCTCTAGAAGATATCCCAAAACCCAAATCAGTACAAGATAACTCAGAGAACATTAAAACAAGGATGAAAAGAGAAGAGGACTGATTGCTAAATAATAGTCATAGCATAAGACACCAATAAAAACAAAAATAAACAGACAACAACACAACTACTCACATAAGAAACCCCAGATGGTTCAACCATGTACAATTGTGGTCCCTCCCTGTCATAACCCCCAAGGATTACTCCACATCCAAAAGGTCTGCAGCATGATAAATAAGTTTCTTAGTGAATAAATGGTGAAAAGAAACTTGAACTGAGAAATGATCTTTCCATGAACTATCAATTTTTCAACCAACCTGAGCCACCAGTATAGTGTACAGAGATGTACATAGCTACCAACCCGATCTGCAAGTTCCTTAACAGGAATTGCTTCACCATACACGCTGCAGACAGACACAACACAAGCAACCGTGTAAAATGATATGAAAACATAAAACTCTAAAATATGGCAGCAAGAATTATATGAAAATCTGAATGTTTTCCATTGACCACGTTTAGGTAAATTCATGAGCGAATCACATAGCAATTGATATTTTGATTTTAAAAGAACAAAAAACTAAAAGGTGAATGCACCATAACTACAGATAGAAAAATATAAACTATCAATCTCAGATGACTGTATTTCAACAGTCTAAAAAACAATCTCATAATTCTTCATTGAAACGTTCCTTTTCTTCTTTTCCTTCAGCAAAAATTCCACTTTCCAAATTTTTATGCCAACTGCAGTACGCTAGAATGGAAAAAGGGCTCCATTCCACTCCCGCAAGTATACATGTTCACTCATTTGAGCTTTCTTTCTCTTATTTGTGCCTCCGCGAAAGACAACAGAAAGATAGAAACTGAGAGTGCATACATAAGAGCTTAACAGGAACAACAGTTTAGAAAACCACTTATATAAGTATTGTATGCAAAAAAAAAAAAAAAAAAAAAAAAAAAAAAAAAAAAAAAAAAAATGAAAAAAAAAAAAAAAAAAAAAAAAGAAAAGAAAAGAAAAGTATAGAGAACTCATTCACTGAGAAAATAAGATAAAATTAGGAAATTCCGGAGACCAGAACAAACCTTTCATAGTTGGTAGCTTCAGACTTGGCCCGGGCGACAATTTGCCTCCCATCTGCTGCTAAGCCTGCAACAGCCTGCAATTATAAAAAATTAGGAAATGCTTCATAGTCAATATTTAAGGCTTAAAAGTCAAAGACAAAAAAGTTTATATCATTCCCATTTCTTAGTTTGTATTTTCCAAGAGTTAAAACAAATGGTGGACATAACAATATGCTCCCTATCTCGAGGGAAATACCTTTAGAAGGTGATTAGTAAATTTTATACACATAAAAATAACTGGAAAACAAACCCCAAACTAGATGCCAAAATTTCAACAATTCCCTTTTTCATTTATGGATCTGTAACCTAGGTCAACAATAAATCCGCAGAGAAATGCTTCAATATGAAGTGAAATGAAAGTAAAGAAGAAACAAGTACCATCCCCGAGTGTCGATGAACGGAATGAATTCTTCTGTTGGAGCCAGACAACATCATTTTTGACGCGACAAGCTTCTCCACGCCCTAAATTTCAAAAATCAGAAATTACCCAAATGCGTATATATATTGCAGAGATTTTCATACTCTTTGGTCACAGAGAGATTATTATACCATAACGACGCCATCTTTGCATTTGATCCCGATAACAGTTCTGCAAAACAAGAGTTTCACATTTTTAAGAAGGGAAAAATCGATGGGGTTGTCTCTAGCCCTAAGTCCCAAATCGGACACTAAAACGCTACTTTTTCCTCGATATTTTCTGGGGAACCAAACAAAAAGAGAAAGAGGAGTACCCGCTGTTGTCGACGGCTTTGGCGGCGTATTCGATCTGGAAGACGCGGCCATCGGGGGAGAATGTGGTGACGGAAAGATCGTAACCAGTTCCTATGCTGCTCATCTTTCTTCTTTAATTTCTTCTTCAAATTGATTGTTCTTCTTCAGCTTCTACTTCGCTTCTGAGTAAAACTTTCTCGGATGCCAAACACTGAAGGTTAATGAGCTACAAATAGAGGGAGCGAAGCAAGAGACTTTCTTTTCTCTCAAGAAAGAAATACAGCGTCTGACACTTTTGCCTTTCCTCGTTTCTTTTTTTTTTTTTTTTTTTAAATCATTTTGGGCCCTAACTTTTAGGGCATCTCAAGTTATCTCAAATTAACCCTCCTGTTAAAATATATAAAAAATATACTACCTTTTCTTTTAGTTTTGGTTCACAGAAATTTTTTTAAAAAAAATTAATTAATTTTATTTATATTGTTATGGGAAAAAATATTATGGTAAAAAAAATTTAAATTAAAATAAATATATAAGGCGCGTTTAAAATACGTTCTAAAATAATTTTATTTTTTGAATAAAAATAAAAATAAAAACATTTTCAATGTTAGACAGAAATTATTTCTTAAAATGCGTTTAGTAGTTTTATCAAGAGATTATTTTCAGTGTAAAAAAAAAATCATTAATGTCTCTCTTTGTCTCCTCTACTCGAGAGAGGAGAAAACAAAAATAAAAAATAAAAAACGACTAAAAGTCGTTTTTCATTTCTTTCTTATTTTATACTAAATTAAAAAATTATTTTCATTTCTGTTTTTTATCTTTATTACGCCAAACATCGTTTTAAAAACGTTTTCATTTTTTCTTTCTCAAAAAACGTGAAAAATAAAAACGATATTAATTCCAAACATGACCATAAAGGCTCAAACATCGTGCCCTCACATGTAAAATTATATAATTAACCTCTATTAAACCTCACGTTGGTCCTTATGTACCATTTTTTGTTAAGATTTTAATAATCAGATGGATGGAAGACTTAATTTGAGATAATTTTATGGATTAGATACTCATTATAAGACGTTTTAAAAATTAAGTACCAAAATGAGATTTAATATATAGTTCGAGTCAACTAGCTCCAAATGAACTTTTTCACTCAATCGGGCATGTTGAGAGGCCTTTAAAAAATAACTCGCATAATAATTTTTTTCTTTTTCATTTTCCTTACTTCAGATTACTATCAAATTAAAATTGAGCAAAGTCAATACTTTATTTCTTGTTGTCTTCTTCTTCTGCTTAACTATCCAAGTGTCGCCCCTTTACAACAACAACATCCTCCACACCGGTCCAGACCTTTATACCCTTTTTATGTACTATGTTAACTTACACTAGAGTTTATTGAAGGGCATCTTATAATCATCAGGATTCATGATTTGTTCTTGAAAGCACTAAAATGACTCAACATGTTTGAGCCTAACATTACTAGTGACCCTTTTGTTTGGAAGATCCGAACGATATGCTATTGTTGGGGTCCGGTATAGTCGGCGAGTACGATGTATCTAAGGTATACACTATTAGATTCTGAAACAATTTCAATTGGAAAAGCGTGTATTTAACGGATTATGTATAACAAAAATTTTCATAAAATTTTAAAATATTTTATAGATTACATTAATTTATACACGAATAAATTAATCAAATTAAATCATTTACCTAGCAAACGATTAGATCGATAACTTGAGTTCTTTGACAACGAACATTCCTTGCTCCAAGCTAGTTTAGAACACCTGAATCTTTCTCCTATATTCCTTAAATCTACAAAGACATGTGTATGGACACACCTGAAACAAAACAGGATTAGCAAATAAACACTCAAGTTTTTCATGAATATCAACATGTGCACGACGTGAAATTTAGGAGAAAATTTTTCCTTTCCACACACTCTATAATTCGGCCACCTATGCAAGAAGAGAGCAAAAATTATTCTCTAATTTTCTACAATCTCTTATTTATAGAGTAGTAGTCAGACTCCGAGAAGAAGTCTAATTTGTATCTCCAAGATAAAACTTGATAATTATCTTTCACTTCTAATTTAATTTTGAAACAAAATCCACTCTCCCTTATCCATATGTTGGCCGACCACTATAGGGAGATTCATCCTTGTGGTAGGTGCAATTGTAGCTAGGGAATTGGGCAAAATTCTACATTTATCATGCAGTCCAATTTTAACTCAAATTCAAATTCTAATTTAAGTTAAACTTAAATCAATTTGAATTTCAAATTGGACAACCTGTCAAATAAGTCAATTGGATAATTTGGAGAGCAAGCAATTAAATTCCAGAGGGATTCACATTGTGCTGAGCGTTCACACTATGTGAACACCGTCACATGTGTGTTTCAAAATTCAAATTTAAATTTAAATAATCACATTATTTAATTTATAATTAATTCTCAATTAATTATTCTTGAGTGTTTTATTTTAGAATTCTATAATTCTAATATTTCCATTTTACCTTTAATGTCTTGTAGGATTACAAGGACGACGCGTGGACTCATAGACCTATAATTCTGAGCTCTAATAAAATTAATAATTAATTAAACTCTTTAATTAACTAATTAATTCTATTAATTTCAAAAGTTACTCCACTATCAACTTGGAATTGCTACTCTCGTAATTATAGACATAAATTACTTCTAAACTGTGAAGTGTTCATTTAATATAGTCATTACATGTAGATCAATCCTCCATAACTAACTCATACTTAAAGCTAAGTGAAATCCATTAATCTCTCTAATTACATCTTTATCCTTGAGTATCATTGATTCTCTAATGGACAGTGATTCAGAAAAATAAATTCATGAATCGAAGCACCTACTAGTTCAAGTACCGAATCAACCCTCAAGAGAATTATTTATCTACTTCTTTCTCAAGAAAGAATGTATTCCATCTTGTATAATAACATTCTTGGCATCTCACTTCATCATGTCTCCAAAATATAAGGAATAGGATTTAGGATCTCAGAATTTGTACCGAGTAAATTAAAAGACATAAATTCATAAATAGAAGTCTGCTAATAACTCAGGATTAAGATCATTCTATATATGACCATCGGTAGACTTAATTAGAATTTCTATACTTAACGAAAATTATCAAAAATTCATATTGTGTCTATGTTCTTATTTCACATAATCTCATTATGTGTAATACACTCATTCAATATCACTCCATTTTAATAGTGTGAATAACACTGTTCCATTCTGAATATGAATAACATGTATTAGTAATGTTTTAATTAACGATTCTGAACTTTAATTAAATTCATTAGGAACATCGTTTTGATTATTATCCTTAAATATCATCCTCTCGCATATAACACTTATATACAATATTTAAGGTCACATAAATAATCATGAAATTTTCAGTGATATTCATAAAATATTCAATAATATATGCACATAAAATAATGAATATACTCTTTTATTAAACTAATAATAAATATCTTATTACATCTCATACTTCTAAGACACCATTCCCAACATACAAATGCAGGTATCTAATTCATAGGTGTTGATGTGGATGGAGCACATCGTGTCCTCAAAGAAGATTAAACGGTAGGACCTCCAACGAAGATGTGAGGATCGGCTAGGCCCAAAGTAAGCCCAAGAAAGCATATTCTATGGCCCACTTTGTTGCTAAATTACTAAAACACTCATTCGCTAGCCTAGGAGGACGGTAATCAAAGTCAACAAAACCACACCGGCGAAATATGAAGGGAGGACCAATGGAACAGTTGATGGAGAAGTGACTCAGAGATATGGATAAGGTAATTGGAAGAAGTAGTGAATTCTTACTCCAGAGGAGCACATGTCGTTCCAAGAGTAAGTTTTGGGTACTTTCGTGAAGTTGATGGGTACTTATCTCAGAGGAAAATGGGTTGCTCTGAGAGTAAGTTCTAGGTCTTTTCTGCAGAGTAGCGAGTTTTCACTCCGGCGGAACACAGTTGCTCCGGGAGCGAACTTCATGTGTTTCTGGTAGGGTGGGAAGTGCTTTCTCCACTAGAACGCATGTCGCTCCAAGAACAAGTTTCAGCAAGGGTGATATGATGAAGTTTTGTGGCTTTCGGGCACTTTTCGAGAATGTGCTCTAAGGGGCCTAGGTCACTCCCGGAGGTAGATTTCGGACTTTTCAGGAAAAAAAAAACTCAAGAACTTTGCATGTTCTTCATTGATGAGTAGAAATGGATTGAATGAAGTGTCTAAGGATTTTCTCAGGTTGAACAATCAAAATCTGGGCAGAATTTCGAGAACTTTGTTGAAGGTCTTCAAGACTAAAGAACGGAAGCTCAAATAACAATAAGTCTTTAGCACAAAAGACTTTAACTCTCAAAAGAACATCACTCAGAGTTTTGGCTAAGAAAGCGGGTGAATTCGTGTGTAAAAATGGTGTGTTAGAGTGCTAATGGGAAGGGATATTTATAGGTGAGGTCTGGAGATTTTTAACAGTTGCTTCGAAGCCGTACAACGTGCTCTAATGGCAACCTGCACACGCCATTTCCCTCTAGAATAATTGCATCAGGTGGCTTTCCGATTTGACAAACAAATTGGCCAAAAATAGGTAGGTTTAGAGGCATAAGTCTGGAATTTAAGCTGACATACGAACTTCCCCAGGTTTGGAGAATATAGAGTGTTTGACTAATTTTGTCTTCTTAAAAGTGAAGCTGTTGGGATTGATATCCTAAAAGCATGAGATGTAATAAAAATTTTATTATTTATTTAATAAAGGTAGAAATTTTATTATTTTATGTGCACGTATATTCTATATACTTTGTGGATATCATTAAAAATTTCATAATTATTTATGTGACTTTAAATATTGTATATAAGTGTTATATACTAGAGGATAATATTTAAGGACAATAATTGAAATAAGACCATAATGAATTTAATTAAAGTTTGGAATATTTAACTAAAGCATTATTAATACATGTTATTCCCATTAATAATGGAATGAGCTTATTCACATCATTGATATGGATGAATATCGAATGAGAGTATTTTATATAATGAGATTATGTAGGACTGAGACAATACACAATATGAATTTTTGATAATTTCCATTAAGTATAGAAATTCTAATTGAATCTGTAGATGGTCATATATGGAATTATCTTAATCATGAGTAATTAGTATTCTATTTATGGATTTGTATCTTTTAACTTACTCGGTACGGATTTCAATATTATTAAATTTTATTCCTTGTATCTTGAAAACACGATAAAGTAGGTAGCCGAGAATATTAATATTACGAGATGAGATCCATTTTTTCTTGATAAAAGAAATAGATAAATAATTCCATTAAAGGTTGATTCGATATTTGAATTTGTAACGAGTTCGGTTCATGAATTTATTTAATGAATATACTACTAATTAGAGAATTAATGGTACTCGATGATAAAGATATAGTTAGAGAGGTTAACGATTTCACTAGCTCTAATTATGAATTATTTATAGAGGATCAATCTATATAAAGTGGCTATGTCAAATGGTCGTTTTACATATGTAAATAAATTTCTATAAGACCATCTCCAATGTAAATGTTAATGTCAATTGTATATTTAGCATAAAAAATATGATATGATGTGTAATTTTCATTTTTACTCCAATGCATAATGTTATTTAAAATGTCAAATCTACTTTTTATCATAATTATTAAGTTTTGAAAGTTATAAAAATAAACTTTTATTTTTAAAATAATTATAAAATACAAAAGTTGTAATGACTACATAAAAAAGTAAACATTTCAATCAATAACAATCAAATGTCAAATGTTATACTTGGCCGGAAATTTACCACAAAATATAGCATATGCAAAATTAAGCACAACAAATAGCAATGCATTGGAGATTTTTTATTGGCACTCAATTGCTAAATTTGTAATTGGCACATCGATTATAGTATTGCATTAGAGATGCTCTAATATTAAGAGTGTGATTCCTAATTTACAGAGGAATAACTTTAGAACTAATATAATTAATTAATTAATTAAGTCTCTTTTTGTTTTAACAACTCAAACTATTGTTTAGGATTCAAACCTTAGTTTAGGATTCAAAATGGTGGTTGGGAGAAGAAAATTCAAGAACAATTAGAACCACTAACAATGGTTCAAGGACAACTCAAACTGTTGATTTTAGAATTCACACTTCCGGCCTCGTTCGTTTCGCTGATTCGAGTTTAAATTCGAGTTTTGCTACAGTAAAAAGCTCTCACAAACAGTCACATCTAACTTTTTTGCTACAGTAAAAAGCTCTCACATAAAATCACATCTCAACTCAAATTCTAAACTCGAATCAACGAAACGAACGAGGCCTTAAACTCTAACAATCCAAATGTATCAACAGTCCAACAATTTCAGATTCTACTTTTTCTCTCTCTTCAATTTTGATCTTAAAAATGTCATAACTTTATTTTAATTCTGATTGAGATGATTTTTCTAATGTGTTCATAATGAAAAGAGGAACAAATCCTCACCCATATTGAATATTCTTTAATGTCATTTATAATGAAGTTTTGTAAGATTTGTTATAAAACTCTAATGATAGTTTTCAACACTTTATCCAAACGCAGTTCGGATTTTATTTTCAATTCAAATTACAATTTATTTGCATATCTAAACAACAATTCGGATCACAATTTGAATCACCATAATTTAGATTCTACAGTTTTAACCAAAAAGGTTCAAATCTCCACAGTTTGAGTTGTTGAACTAAATAAACCCTAAATAGTTTAATTAACTATTAATTTTATTGGAACTTGATATTATAGGTCCACAAGTCGCCGCATCATCCTTGCAATTTCTACAAGACATTGAAGTTAAAATGAGAAATTTAAATTATGGAATTCTAAATTAAATTACTCAAAATAATTAATTGTGAATTAATTAAATATTAAATAATGTGATTATTTAATAGATAATTTTAGAACACACATGTGGTGAGACCACATGCTTATACATTCCAAATAGTAGGAGAATCCCTATGAGATAGGTTATGCAATTAGAATTAACTAGTTAGATAAGTTATCCAATTAGAATTTAAATAAGTTTGAAGTTTGACTTTGCATAGATATTTGAATTTGAGTCAAAATTAGACAACATGATAAAGGAGAAAATTTTCTCCTTCTACTTGATAAGGTGGCGCCAACCACGGGAAGAAATAGAGAAAATTGTAAAAACTGACCCTTAAACACATCATTCTAGAGTTCTACCATTTTGATGTGATAGGTTACCCCTTTCATAACAATCTGTCAAATTATAGATAATAATTTATTAAATTTTAGACAATAATTTGTTGAATTACGCCCACCGTCGGCGACTGGAGACGCGCCACCGACGACATTTGTCAAATTATCGATAATAATCCATCAAATTACTTACTCAAAAAGGACAAAATAAAATAGGCCAATGTTGAGACCCAAAAATCTTTAATGGTGTCATTTTAAGGGGTATTTATCAAAATTACCCAAAGAAATACTTCTTGTGGGCTGAATTTCTGCATAAACTAGAGAGAGAAAATTGTTCCAAAATTAAATAGGAATTTATCTTGATTTTAAATGATATTAAAAATAAAGATTAATTACCAATTTTCTTAAGCCTTATTTAGAGATAAATTAGAGTTCTATTGGGACTCTGATAGCTCTTCTATAAATAGGTGGTAATAGAAAATTAGAGAATATAATTTTTACTCTATAACTGCATAGTGGCCGAATTTTATAGAGAAAAAAGGGGAAAAAGTTCATCTATTCTCAGTTCGACCTCGTACATGTGTTGATGTTAGTAGAAGACTAGTGAGTTGATTGACTAATCCCATTTTGTTTCAGGTTGTGCCCACACACACAACCTTCGTAGAGCCTAAAAGCAGACGAGAAATATTCTTAGTGATATGAGAACCAAAGCATTGGATTGTTTGTAGTTAAAGAACTAAAGTTATCGTTCTAATTGGTGGTTAGATATATTGAAAATTAATTAGATTAATTATTATTTAATTTTGTAAATAAATTAATATATTCTAAAGCGTTTAACAAAGCTTTTATGAAAATTTTGTTTATACTTTATTTGCACTAACATGCTTCCGCATCAAAATCATTTCAAAAACCAAGTGGTATAAGTGGTATATAGACTATATTAATTTATACTGTGATTATGTGATAATCAAATTAATATTGAATAAGTGCTATTTAATTTTGTATGTATGTGATGGACAACCACTTTGTATTTATTTATGGATGCTTATATTTTAATTCATGTGAAGAGTGCATAGATGATAAATTTGATCGTTAATTATATGATTCTACAAATCGATTTATTTTTCCGTCTATTTATTTTTTTTCAATTAGAAAAATTGTAAACCTTCGGGTATAGGAATTATTGTAATTTTAGATTTTAGGGATACCTTAGATTTAGGGAAAGGCATTATGAACCAGGACGAAGACTGGCAATAGCAAGCAGGAAAGTGACAAAACATACGCAAACGTCAAGCCTGTGGTGCGTTCTACCGCACGAATGTTGTGCGCTCATGTGGGTGCACTCGAGATTGTCTTGGTCTTGGGTGCTTGTCATGCGCACACCCGCGATGGTTGCAGGCAACAACGGTGCACACAGTGTGAGCGCTTACGAGCAAACTAAATACTGGTAATGGCATAATAATTAGTTGTCCGATAACATATTTTTCTTTTCAATAATATTAAGGACACCAATTTGAATCTCAATTTTTATGTATAAACTAATGTGATATTTGAGTTATCATTTTTACATTAGTGTACGTCTAAAACATTCTACGGCAATGATAAAATATAGTATTTACCAATAAAAAATAACAACACACGTGTCACAATTTGATATACAAGAATTAATATTGCATTTCGTTTCTCTAGCACTATTCTTTTTCTTTTCTTTTCAAAATAAGGAGACAATTATTAGATTGCATGAGTCTTGAGTACTTTTATCCTTTACTCTTGATTAATACATTTTAATCAATTACTATATTTGTCAAAAAGGTATTAATAATGAGTAAAAAATCTAGAGCCATATACTTCTAAGAGTATCTCTAATGCAATGGTATAATTGATGTGCCAATTGAAAATTTAACATTTGAGTGCAAAAAATACTCTCCAATGCAATATTATTTGTTGTGCCAAATTTTTCATATGTTATACTTTGTAGTAAATTTCTCACCAAGTATAACATATAAGAAATTTAACATTTAATTATTATTGGTTAAAATATTTACTTTTTTCATGTAATCATTGCAACTTTTGCATTTTCTTAAAAATTTTAAACATAAAAGTTTACTTTCACTACTTTAAAAGCTTAATAATTATAGAAAAAAGTAGATTTAGATTTCAAATAGCATTATATATTGGAGCAAAAATACAAATAACATACCATATTACAATTGACATTAGTATTTACATTAGAGATGGTCTAATAATAAATTTAGTAATATTTTCTCTTTTTTTTTTTGAGATATAGAGGCAAATGGTACTTTTTTAAGAATTTTTTTCAATAATAGCTAAAACTTTATGAAATTAGAAAAATGACAGATTCTTTAATTAAATTAGTGACCAATCACTAATTAACTTAGTAGTAAATCATTGTCTGACCGGTCTATCACTGATTAGTCAATAAATTTATCACTGATTAATTCGATATATTTCATTATTAATCAATATTAGTTAATAATTAACCGAATCAGTTAGTATTTAGTCAATTTTAATCAACAAAGTACATGTTTATTAATGATAAATCATTGGTAAATTATAATAATGAATCGATCAATCAATGATTGACTACTGAAAAAAACAGCATTTTGCTAAAATAAAAAAAGTTTAGTTATTTGTTAAAAAATGTGATAAAAAACAACAATTTACGTGATTTCTCTTTTTTCTTTCTTGATATTACATATATAAGTAAAGTTTTCAATTTAATATCGAATTAGAACGACACATATATATATTTTTTAAAAATATATATATTTTAAAATATATATATATATATATATATTAACATCTTTCCTATGCATCATCAAAATCATACACAATAAAAAGTAGGAGTTATTTAATTTGAGAATTCATACCCTAATTTGAATCATAATTCATAATTCGTTATAATATTTTTTTTTATAAAAAATATATATAAATTAAAAATAATTTTAATCTTATGATTCTAATCCATCAACCAAACGTATCCGTAATAATTGCTCTTACAACCTCTGCTTTGCTACCTATTCCCACGCTCCGTTAAAACCCCAAAACCAACCTACTCCTCAAATGGAGAAACGATTTGGTGGATAGTTACCAGTCTCGTCAATGGAGTGGGCGGGGCGGCCCAACCACATTCGAGGGGTTCCGAGGAAGATGGTTTTCATGGTGGCCGGTGGTTTCGCCAAGCTCTTCGCTTCCTTCCTCAACTCCACATCCGTTCAAAATGCCCAAACTCTCATTCGTCTCGTCCGTTCTCGACCTCCCGGCGTTCCTCTCATCACCGTCAGCAATCACATGTCGACCTTGGACGATCCCCTTATGTGGGGATTCAAGGGCTTTCCCTCCATTAATGCCGACCTCGCTCGCTGGGTTTTGGCCGCTGAGGATATCTGCTTCAACAACTCCTTCTACTCTTACATGTTCCGTCTCGGTACGTGCGCAACTTCTTGTGGACAGTCTAGAGTTTTGTGTTTTGTTACATTGATAAGCTCCAAATGCTTGTTTTTTATTTTTCTTTTTTCGGTTTTATTTTTCTTTTTTCTTTTTTCTTTTTTCTTTCCAACCTGGGATTTTTATAGACTTATACTTAGCATTATGATTTTCCGAAAGACAAACATGGTAGTGAATGGAGATTTCTCTTTTGATTCTTTAGATGTTGGGTAAAATCCTGCTACACAATATCATGTTTATGTTATGTAAATACAAGTATTTGTGTCTTCTATTGAACTTGTAAATCTGTTTTCAACTTAAGATGGCAATTATAGATGCTGGAATTAGTTTTCTTTGACACATTGTTTATTGTTTGCTTTTTTCTATTGTAATAATTGTTTGTTGTTACATCTTTTTCTTTCAAATTAGGGGTTTCGTTGGTAAGTAGTGGTAATAGCTAATATGTTGATATGAACTGAGTAAGCTGCATTTCATATGAACAGAATAAAGCAAGTGTATTTTCTACAAAGGAAAAAAAAAAGAACAAAGAATAAAAAAGGGGAAAAAATGGAGGGTGTTAGGTAAACAACCATATACATTATGCCTGTCTCTTGGTCGATTTTAATGGTTGCCTTATTCTGTTTGTTTGCATTTCAGAAAAAGCGTCTTATGGTTTTGGAAGAATTTTGGACACTGCCAACCTGTTTTTGCACTCAACAAATCTTTTTTTTTTGTTTTTGTTTTTTTTCCTAACCGATTATATTTTAATGCTCTCCTCAAATGCTTTTTTGCTTTTTCATTTATCTACTTCTTTTTCAATAATTTAAATCCTGTCTATTACATAAAATTGCGCAGGGAAGTGCATACCTATTACAAGAGGTGGTGGAATTTATCAAGAACACATGAATGAAGCTCTTGCGCGGCTAAATGATGGAGCATGGGTATTTACTTTATTCTTAGATTTCTTAATTTTCTCACGACTTACAGTGTACTCTTTTCTTTAATATGTTAAGTTGCAACTTGGAAAGATTGGTGTTGAGATGTGATATTCCTATCATGTTTCTCTTTGTTGACCAATAGATGGTCTTTGATAGTTTCTTCTTACATTCCTTACAACTAGTCTCTGTTGTTAGATTCTAGTTGTCAGAAACCGGTTTAGCACTTTTGTTGTTGTTTCTTTGAAAGTTGCTTGAGGATTGGCATATGTGTCAGTAACATAGAATCTAGCCATTGTAGTAAGATTTACCGAACATTCTGCACATGCTTCTTTCACATAAAAGGTTACAGCAGCTTTTCTAGGCACAATTTGTAGTTGATGGTTAAATGCAACATGATTGGTGACTGAGGAAGTTCAACTTGATCTGGTGTGAACTTATGCATACATCTAATTAAGTATCTAGGGCGACAACTTTTAAGGACATTGGATTTACACTGCTTGTTATAAGTATTGGAATTCTTCTTATTTTATTGTGGTCTTCTTGGTTTCTTTTATTTTTCCAATCTTTTTCCTTTCTCTTAACATACGAACCTGTGAGAAGTAAGAATGTCATATCACTCATATATTATGCCTGTATTTACTTTTTTCCCCCGATTTAATGTGTTTGTTTGTGTATCATTTTATTTTATTTTTTTGTTACAAATGGTCAGTCTAGTTAGTTTCATTGAAGCTGTTGGGAGCTGTTTCTAATTAACTCTAATGTAAATCTAATGTGAACGGTTACATGTAGAACAAAGGATTTTGGGACCCTAGAATTGATGGTTTAAGGTCAGTGAGTTGGTTTTTGTACGTGAATGATATAGCACCTTGAGAACTGCTAAGTGTAATTTCTTGGAGATTCTTGGCCACTCTTTGCAGTCAACAAGTGCCCCACTTTATATTTCTTTTTCGTTTTCCCCACTTTATATATTTTTTTCGTTTGCCCCACTTTATATTTCTTAAAAAATCCCACTTTATATTTCTTAAAAATATCAAATGTGGAAACAATTATTTATTTGTTTTTTTGTTACAAATACGTTATTCTCCAAATATTTAAGGCGTTGCAAATCAACAGTGTTTTCTTTGATGTCCCTTTTAAATCCCACTCTGGTGTACTTTACGGGCTTTCTAATCCTATAATGGTTATGTCGAGGAAGACTTTAGGGACATTGGTCGCAAACTCGCAATCCCATGTAGTATTTCAAACTACCTGATGTAGGACAGAGTAGGGAAAAAAGAGAGAAGAAGAAGAAAAGGAAGAAGAGAGGAAAGTGAAGAATTAAGGTAGAAGAAGAGGAGAATTTAGAGAAAGAGAAGAACTTTAGAGAGAGGAAAACTGAATATTTGTATTATCAATCAATAAGTTCTGAAAAACAATGAACAATACTAGGCCTATTTATATATAGGCAATTCAAACACTAATAGGAAACTAAATGCAATTAGGAAACCAAATACAAACAGGAAACAAAACATAATAGGAAACTAACTTAAGAAAATATACTAGTTACCAAAAACTAAATATAATAAAGAAAGAAAATAAAATAATATCCTAGTTTCTATATTTGTGCCTGACATTATAACGGAAACTAGTATTGTGATCTCCATCACTACCATTCCTAGCAAAGTATTATGCGGAGTCTTTCCAAAGGCATTGTCTGTTTGTAAGTTGCTTCTTTTTTGTTTTTTTTTTGTTTTTAAAGAAACAGTGGAGCGAGCGCATGTGATGATGCAGGGGTAGGTATTGCAATGAGTAGGAGTTGGGTGAGGATCTGATGATGGGGGTGGGAAAGGTTCGATGGTGTCTAAAGAATCTAAGGGGAGTAAAATGGGAATCTCTAATGAGAAGGAATCTGAAAGTTGGTGGACTTCAGAGTTTCCCAAGCTCTAAAGTGCACAGGCGTTTTAGTTGTGTAGTATTTTTGTAATAGATATGCAAAAGAATGATGTTTTAGAACTCACATCTCTAATAGTTCTAAGAAAATAAAGTGGGACTTGCATCTACCGTTGAAGCTAGCGAGTGTCTTCAACAACTACGCTTAACATTCCTAGGTTTTAAAGATTTGTTTGCTTTAGTTTCTTTGGGACAATCAGGAGGACAGCAAATTGAAGAGTTTGGTGGCTTGGGACATTGTTACGAGGAGCAAGCAAAAGGGTGGTTTGGGGATTGAAAATTTGAAAATGAAGAATGTGGCTCTTCTAGGGAAATAATTGTCGAGATTTCCCTTGGAACAGAATTCATTGTGGGCTAGAGTGATAAGAAGTATGGACTGCAATCTAATGGCTTGGATTCGAACTTAGTGACTAGAGGATCATTTAGAATTCCGTGGAAATTTATCTCTCAGGGGCTGAATTCTTTTCTTCAAAATGTCAAACTGAAAGTGGGAAATTGGACCAAAATCTTATTCTAGAAAGATAAATGGTGTGATAATGAATCCTTGGAGCTTTTATTGCCTCAACTCTTTAGACTTTCTGACTTTCCAAATGCTTTCATTTATGATATTGTGTGATTGTCTAGTAACGACGAGTCAAATTGGATACTTGGTTTTAGGAGAGGCCTCAATGATAGAGAGGTAGAGGATTTGCAATTTCTACTTCAAATTCTCAACTCCGTTTTATTTAGCTCATCTTCTCTTGATTGTAGAGTATGGTTGTATGATCCTTTAGGTTTTTCTTGTTGATGCTTTTTGAGTTACTTAGTGGACAGAAATGACATTCCGAATTTTGAACCGTTTAAATTCATTTGGAAGTCTTGTGTCCTCCATAGAATTAAAGTTTTTGCTTGGTTGGTCTTTCATGGGAAACTTAATACTTGTGATAGGCTGCAGAAGAGAAACCTTCATCATGCTTTCCCCGTCTTGGTGTGTCTCTGCAGGGATAATGAAGAAACCATTGATCACATACTGTTACATTGTAGGGTGTCCAGATCACTTTGGAACAAATTAAGTTTGGAGGCCGGTTTTAGTTGGGCAATTCCAGCGAAGTGTAGTTCTTTGATGGTTGAGAGAGCAGTGGGCTTTGGACCTAACAAGATGGCCAGAATGGAATAGTATGGTGCTTTTGATTCTATAGGCTCTGTGGATGTAAAGAAACGCCAGAATTTTTGAGGAAAAGGAGATGGAGCCAATTGATATTTTTGAGAAGGCAAAGTTCGATAAAGCTTTTAAAGGATTTCCATTTTCTTTGGTCATTTTAAATTGGAAAGATGTAATAGGGAATTGATTTGAGTTATTTTTGGTGTTTCCTTTTATATCTTGGTCAGATCTTTTTTCACATTTGGCCATTTTTGCATCTTATGGATTTGACGATACCTTATCCTCTGCCCCTGTTATTGATTTTATCAATAAAGTTTTTCTTATCAAAAAGAAAATTTGTTTGCTTTAGTGAAATTATATATTTCATAGAAATGGAAAAAAAAAAAAAAATTCTTAAGGTTTTATTTGGCAGCTGCATACATTTCCAGAAGGAAAAGTTTTGCAGGAAGATGCCCCCATCCGAAGACTGAAATGGGGAACCGCCAGCCTTATTGTTCGATCACCAGTAACCCCAATGGTTTTGCCAATTGTTCATCACGGGTTTGAGCAGGTAATATCTATTGCTTCCCTTTATCGCTCTTTTAACATCTATGCATAGCGAGTAGGACACTCTTTTTCTTATGTTTATTGTCTAGACTCCAAATATCTTTTGCGCATGTCATATTAGAACTTTGAAGGGTGAACGTTTATATATATCTAGACAACTTACCTTTTCTCTTAGATGCTGGGCACCATATCTGTAGAATCCCTTATTGTTTATTCTATTTATCAGGGCTTGGTCGTTCTAAAGCCAGGTGTTTCCAGGCCGCCTTAGGACGGTGGCCTTCACTTTTTTCACTGTTTGGAGCTGAAATTAATATAAAGGCCCAAGTCCTAACTCATATCAGCCAAAAGCAGTCCAATAAAAAACAAAAACGTAGATAATTCTGGAAGAATAACGTTGCTATGACCAAGAGGCAAGGGTGCAGAGTTAAAACAAACCCCTAGATTGCTAAAAATAAGAGGGAGAAAAGAAAAATGAAGAATACTTTTTTTTAGATTTAATAACTTTTGTTGAGTGTTAATATAACTTTTTATGATGTTAAGTATGATTTATAACTTTTACTTTAAATTGCTTGATTTTCCATATTTTGAATTATTTTATGGTTTATTTTGAGGCTTACACTTCGTCTCACAAAGACAAAATGTCTCAGTATCCAATTGCGCAATTTTAAACCCTGTCCCGCAGTGCATGCACTTAGAAATTTTGAAATGGTACGAGACCTCAAGATTATGCATCTCGTAGAGATGCACACAGGACACAGGAAAGGAAACTCTGATAGGTCCTCCAATTTACCTGGAATCAACATTAGACTCCTTGTCCCCCCAAAAAAAAAAAAAAAAAGTCCTTTGTTCTTGTACAATTATCCCATAACATCACTAATATCTCCAATATAATTGCTGATAATTGCATAATTTGAACTGTATTGCATCTTTTAACTTTGAGCACTATATTTCTAATATAATTGACTGTTCTTCTTTGAAATAACGCCAAAGAATTGACGCATTAACCTCTCTTCCTGACCTCAATTTTCTTCTTGGGCCTTATAAGAAGCAGATATTTCAGATTTCTGTGTTGCGTTAAATAATTGCAAAAGCACGATCTACTTGATCTTCTTTGGCATATTTTTTCATCATCAGTTCACTTCTCATTTTCTCTTAAAATTTCCAGGTGATGCCTGAGAATTTCATGTTTGGTAGAAGACCTCCAGTTCCGTTGGTTAACAAGAAGATAAGCATAACTATTGGCGAGCCAATAGAATTTGACCTTCCGAAAATGCGGCAAACGGCAATTTCTCTTTCTCATAATTTTTCACTTCCATTATTGGGATGGCCAAGCACTAGTGGTTTGGATGAGGCAGCACAAAGATGTCTCTACTCTGCAATCTCAGAGAAAATCCGAACTGCCATGGAAAGCTTACGGACCTTGGGAAAAAAACAAAAGGTTTTAACTCCAAATTGCTTCCAACAATAGGCAAGACATCGTCCTTTCGAAAGTATGGAATGAGAAATACTTGCTCGAGGACCGAAAACTTGATCAAAAAGTTGCTTCAGTCTGAACAAGTGACATGATCGTCTGGTTTAATTTGCTGAAATCATTTTTTCCTCCAACATGAACCTGAGCCAATCTTGAATCTTGATAGAAAGAAATCTTCGTTCGTTTTCTTATTTTTTTATTTTTTATTATAACCAGATATCATCAATGTATTTCTGTTGGGGGACCTTTGACTATTGAAATATTCCATGAATTGATTACAAGGACGTTTTTCCTTGCTACAATCAGCATGAGAATCGAGTCTAATGTTCTTCAAGACAGCGAAGCCATAGACTATTTAGCCATAAAATGGTTTCAAATAACTGGAAAAACTTGTCTTTCCACAAAATTTAAAAAGTGACTGGAAGGAAGGACTCTTTTAAATGACAAATTAGGAAGTTCAATTTTCTTTTTTTTTTTTTTTTTTAACTTTTAAGAATGTGGAAATCTCTACCTGTTTGGCTTGACATTTGGCCAAGCAGACTATCTTCAATGTGTTATGGATGCATAACTAGAGAAGAGAAACGAAACTGATTGATTGCCAGCATATAAAATGCCCAGCTAAACACCTCGGTAAAACCAATTGCGGCAAAGATAAAAGATATGAAAGAGAGGGAATCATCCTAGAATTACTACACAAATTTGCTTGCTCCGAAGTAGTATTTTGTTAAATTTCCAACAATAAGAGATGGTGAATAAGCAAATTACCATTTAACCAACCCATGAAACGCCAATGTAAAAAACAACATCCATCCTCAACCAAACAAGTTGAGATCAAAACAAATATGGAAAAAGAATTAACACCACAACCATACATATAGCAAGTAAAGTAAAGATTCTGTCTCAAGAATCAGTGAAGCTTGTAGCAATGGGAATGACAATGACAAGAATTATGATCAAGAGAAGAATAATCCCAATACACATCCACTTTCTGCTTCCCTTCTGGTGTTCCTTGGCACTCTTGAGCTGCTTACTCCCACCCTTGACATACTGAGCAGCATTCATCACATGATGCTCAATGTCATCCATCTGCTCCCCCTGCGCCTCCACCATCACCGCCATGTCCAAGAACACCTGGTGGAGCTCGAGAAGGCTCCGCTCGATCTCCCGCGCCGCCCCGTGCCGGTCCTGAATCTCCACCACCGTCTCCATCACCTTTCCCCTCCCGTGCTCCCTCACCGCCCTCTCCAAAAACTCCTCCCCACCGTCCGCGATGATCTTCTCAATCACCGCCTCGTTGGGGCTCTCCCCCGTCACCGTGTAGTACCTCCGTCCCACCGTCTCCTTGTACTCCGCCATCATCCTCTGCCGCAGCCCCTGGAACTCCATCATCAGCTCCTTCAGCTTCTTCCTCAGCCCGTTGGTGACTGCAATTCGGGTGCGGTAAATCGGGGTCCCTTCTTTCTGGCCGGAGAGCCGCTTGTTGGCGGCATTGGCCCGGTCCATCTCCTCGAGCTGCGATCGGATGGCCCGGGCCTTTTTGAGGACTGCCACTATGTCGGCGTTGATCTGGGCCCGGAGGGATTTCAGGGCGTCGGACTTGTGTTGGGACTTGGATTCCTCATTGGCTTGCTGGAGCTTTCCGAGGATTTCGCGGAGGGAGGCCATTTCTTGCTTCACCTTCTCGGCTTCTTCAAGGAAGAGACCCAGATCGGTGTCCATGTGGGTTGCGGCAGAGGACGACATTTCGAGGTTTCCGGCTTCCAAATCGAGGTCTTTCATCGCGGCTTTCTTGAGGTCTACGTAATTGGTGAAGGATTTCGTCATGAGATCGTTCATTTTTGTTTTTTTCGTTGTGGGTTTTTCCTAATTGGGGATTTGGAGAAGTGGGTTTTTGGATGTGGAAATTTTCAGTCAGAAGAAGAAGAAGAAGAAGGAGAAGATGAGTTGCCTTTTGTTTTCAGATGAATTGCAACAAATGAGCTGAGATGATGACCTGTTTTATTCCAAGGGATTATTAACGGCTATGAGTCGGAATATAGCCGTTGTTCCTTCTTTCTCCCCAACGGATATATTTTGAAATGGACGTTGGTTTCTTTTCATCAATTTTTTATTTAAGAAAGAAGAAAAAAATTTCGGGAGAGCTTCGGGACCCTCGGCAAAGCGCTTTATTTTTGTTTTGCTTATATTTTTGTTTTTTGTTTTTTTTTCTGTTTTGATTTTCTTTGAATGAAAAGTACTCATTGGATTTTGCTTTAAAAAAAAAGAGAGAGTTTTTCAGTCAAAATCACTTTTTTTCGTCTTACTAGAAAGCTCCCAAAAAACATTAGTAAAAGGCCAAAGTTTTGCATTCTTTTGGAAGACAAAGAAAAAAAAAAGAAACTGACTAAAATTATTTTATATCTACTTCCTAATAAATCATTCGGTATTTTATTTAAGAGAGAAAAAAAAAAAAAATCGGCAGAGCTTCGGGATCCTCGGCGATGCCCTTTATTTTTGTTTTGCTTATATTTTTGTTTTTCTTTGAATGAAAAGTACTCATTGGATTTTGCTTTAAAAAAAAGAGTTTCTCAGTTTTTAACTCTTAAATTAAGGAGATGTTTGGTTCATAGATTAGAATTATTTTTTATTTACGTGTATTTTTTATGAGAGAAAACACTGTAGCGAACCATGAATCATGATTCAAATCATGGTTTGAATCCTCCAACCAAACATCCCCTAGGGTGACAATTCGTGTTGACGGGTCGTGTTCATGTCATGTTGACCCTCCTTAATTGACACGAATAGGTATGACACGAACAAGATCCGTTTATTAATCATGTCGAAATACAAAATCTAAACACGACCTGTATATTGGCGGGTTGACACGACATATCACGAATAACCCGTTTATTAAACAGGTCATAAACGTGGCGTATCAACCCGTTGATTACCTGTCAACCCGTTTCTAAAATGGGTGATAAATGAGTCGTGTTAACCTATTTCTGAACCTATTTTTGAACATGTTTATAAAATAGCTGATAAATGGGTCGTGTTAACCTATTTCTGAACATATTTTTGAACATGTTTATAAAATGGGTAATATAAACGGGTTGTGTATTCGTGTTACCCAAATATGAAACGTTTAATAAACAAGTTATGACGGATCAATTACGGGTTGGCGGGTCAACTTGAAAATGACACGTTATTTAATCGTGTTTCATGGGTTCGACCTGATTTTGACCCGTACCTATTTATGATAAACCCAAACCCGCTAATTTCGTGCAGGTTTCGAGTCGTGTCGCTACCCGAATTGCCAGCCCTATCTTAAATCAAGTTAAAATTACATGAGATTGAAAAATTATATAAAATAAATAGTTTTAATACATATCTAACGGCTAAAAATAAAAAATTATGCATAGTTCCTTTTTTTTCATCTTATTAGAGAAGCTCCCAAAAAATACTGGTAAATAGCCAAAGTTTTGCATTCTTTTGGGAGAAAAAAAAAAGAAACTGACTAAATTTTTTTATATCTACTTTCTAATAAATCATTCGGTAAATTTAATTGTTTCTTTCCCTGTTATATTGTTAAGTAAGTGTCTCAAATTGATTTTGAGAAGGTAATTATTTTGTAACGCCCTCAACGCTAAACCAGTCTAAGGCCGAATTTAGCGAGGTGATGCTACTTAAAACATACTTTCTATACTTAAAACAATGTTATTTTTAAGATGAAGAAATTTGTAGTTGAAGTCATCACAAAATTTTCGAAATGACTTTTGAACAAAATAAGTTAGTGCGCAAAATGATTACAACCACAAATTTTAGACATTAAACAGTTATTCAAAAGCGACATAGTAACAAAAAAAAAAACATTTTAGGCCCATCTATTGTTTGGAAGTACATATAAGGAAGATGTCAGATGTAGGACCTAGAGTACTCAGCCAACCTTAGAAATTATTTTTTTTACTCTTCGGTAACAACAACATCATCTGCATCACAAGGTAAAACTAATGAGCAAAAACTCAGTAAGTAAATTTCAAATAAAGTAAGTATCTAAAATCTTTGTGGTTGAAATCTCTTTGTTAAACTTTCATACTTATTCTTAGTTTAGGTATGATACAGAACTTTAGTTCCAAGTAAGCCTCTCTATACATGACCTTCTCTAATTTTGGCTAATTCTCTTCTCTTAAACACTAAGCGGAATTTTTAGAATCTATTTCTCTTGTGATCAACAAGAGACTTCCCACTAACATTTTTCTCTAGTTGTCTCAAAGAGACAGTTTCTCTAATTTGGGGCACCGGTCCCTCGCCCCCCTCCTTCCCCAGCCTCTCATCCATATATCATACCATAAAATCTCTTAAAACATAAAAACATAATAAGCAGATATCATAATCTCTTTCAAAATAATTAATCATGAATACTCTTTGAACATAATCATATAAGAATTTCATAAGAGAATAAACTTGCATAATCACAATTCTGAACAAGTTCTTTTGTCAAATAGGTCTTGTGATGTAGTTTTGAAAATGCTTTAACTTTACTTACTTGAATTTCGATTATCACTTTGCAAGCACAAACTAGCTGGTTGTGGAGAGCCTTCAATGTGCTAATTAACCTTTAAAACCCGTAGCTTTCAAAAATCACATTCATATCATCATTTAACAAAACACATAACTGTGCATTGTTACGAAAATATTCATAATAAATTCATCAAAATTCAAAATATTATGAGACCAGTAGCAAATAAAAGTAAACTTAAAACTCTCTTTTTAGAGCTACTACATGATAGGTTTCAGATTTTCTAAACTAACAAAAAACAGCCCGAAATTCGGATTGAAGTATAATCTTGTCAAGAAAATGACAACTTTTTAGCCGAACTTATAAAATTCATAACTAAATGTAGAAAAATCCGTTTAGAGTGATTCAAAAACTCACGTAAAGCTTGAGATATATAATTTAATAGAAAAATATAAGATCAATCAAAATCATACATTTATATAGCACGAAAATAGAATCTACATAGGCTGTACAAAGGACTTATATTTGAACATTTCATCAAACACCTAACATGCAGATCTTAATCTTCAAATAGCACTCTCAAATACATGAATCATCATCTTAATAAGTGTTTATCTTCAAATAATCATCAATAATATTAAGCTAAAATCATTAATTTCACCCAGAAACTAATATTTGAACAAAAACCTCAAGAAACTCATTTTTAAGGGTCTACAACCAACATGCATAATAAGTCACGTCAAAAATCTGAATCTCAAGTAGGATTTCAACATATTAATCTCTGAAATCTTAGTTTCTAACATAAGAAATAAGTTGCCTCAAAGAAAAACGTGTTCCTAAGTGAATAGAAGCTCAAAATATTGGTGGTTATTTTTTGTTCTAGGTTGAAAACGAGTTGAAATGGGCTGGTTGAGTTTTTAGCTCATTCTCTCTTGAAAACCTAGGTTTGATTCTGAGTTTTGGGTGAGAAAAGGAGTGAGAAGAGAGAAGAAAATGTTATGGTCGGAGTTCTAGGCTTTTTTGCTGAAATAGACCCAAAAATGAAGTCTAAACATGATAGAGACCAAACAAAACTAAAGTGACCTTGTAGTAGGACAAGTGTCTAGGTTTTTCTAAGCCTCTAACATTTGTCTTAACCTCATAAAATCAGCTCTAAAGTCTCTATTTTTCTTCTTCAATTAGGTATCTAAAGTTCATTCAATTTGCTAACATAGCCTTCTCTCACAAAAACTCAAAATAGCAACTAAGTCCTTAACACGTTTACATAAAACCATATAATAAAAATATAAAATAATAATTCATCATTAAATTAATCATAAGAAAGGTAAAATATCATATCCAATAATCATAATAAATATCATTTTTTCTTCATAAGTTTAGCACATTAAGTTCCCACATTGAGCTAGTTGCATTGCACATTAAAACTGAAAACTCGATTAGCAAAGCTATAAGTTAAATAAAATCATATGATAGCTATAATAATAAAATATAATGCCAACAAATAACTTTGAGATAAATGATAAATGTGGTGCATGATTTTAATTTACTAAATTTATTTATTATTGGCTTAAGGCTTAATTAAATCTCGGGTATTACATGTTTTGTGTTTTTTAACTAAGTTATTATTTTTTATTCTTAGGCAAGGGTTATTTTATGGTTTATTATAAGTCTATAAATAAGTTCTTTATGTAAAAGTTTTATGTGTGCTTAAAAAAGTGCAGAGAAAGAGTGCCTTGTTTTTGAAAAGAGGAGAGAAAAGTGATAAGAGAAAGAGGTATTTGGGTGGAAAGATAAAGTGAAAGTTGGTTGAGTGTGTATAAGGATGTATTTTTCATTAACAACTGGTATCAGAGCTGTGATGAAGATTAAAAAAAAGTCTAGATGATGTCCAGTATAAAGTTTGAGGAGATTGAGCGGTTTGACAGAAAAAATAATTTCAACATCTGACAGAGTACAACGAAAGATGTTCTGATTCAACAGGGATTACTGAAAGCGCTACAATGAAAGAAGCCAGAAAATATGAAAGATAAAGATTGGGAAGAATTGGAAGTGAGAGTGATACGCACTATTCATTTAAGTTTGACTCCTGAATTAAAATATAGTGTTATGAATGAAACATCTACTTCTGAGTTATGAAAAAAATTAGAAAAAGTTTATATGGTGGTGAAATCCCTAACAAATAGACTATGGGCCAGTTTAGTAGTGCTGTAGATTTTAAAAAAATTACTAATTACTGTTAGCTGTGCTGGAAAAAAAATAGCTGCTACAAAAAACAGCTGAGTGTTTAATAAACTGTAATTATACAAATATTGATTCCATGGGTATTATTGGTATTATGAAAGTTTCATTAATTGTACTTCAAGGTGATTGCTGCACAATCTAAAAGCCAAAGTTGCCTTTGGGTTGCTTCTGATTTTAACTGTAAATTCTTCAAAATTTCTTTAAGAATAACTTTTTATGATTTTTACCGACACAAATTTCAGCTGTAGATGGCTACATAATTGATTTTGGGCTTTAAAAATCACTATCAAACATACCCTATATTTGAAAAAGTAACTATATGACTTGAAAATAGTGAGAAAACTGATGTTAGGGATCATATAAATAATTTTAATAAGTGCATAACTTAATTATTAAGTGTAGAGGTTAAAATTGATGAGGAAGATAATTGGGTAATTTTCTTTGCCTCCTTAGCCAAATCGTATGAGACTTTGGTGACTAAACTTTTAGTTAGAAAGATGACGTTGACTGTGGATGATGTGTCAACTAATCTATTAGAGAATGTAAATATGAAAAGTCCTAGTAGTACTTCTCATACTGAATAAGTTTTAGTGGCACAATCAAATTTGACTAGGGGTAGGAGCAAGTCACGATGGAGATATTATGATAAGAAAGATGATCGTTTCCAATCACGTCTAAGGTAGGATATTGAATGCTGCTATTGTCTTAAGAATGAGCATATTAGGAGAAATTGTGAAGAACTGATGAAGCACATTGAAGAAAAAAGAAAGAAAGAATCCTAAGAGATTTATGTGTATGTATTATTGAATACTTTATGAATACCATTAAAAATTTCGTAATTATTTATGTGACCTTAAATATTGTATATATACGAGAGGATAATATTTAAGGATAATAATCGAAATAATATTTGTAATGAATTTAATTAAAGTTACGTAATCTTTAATTAAAACATTACGAATACACGTCATTCCCATTAAGAATGAAATAGTGTTATCCACATAATTAATATAGAGAGATATTGAATGAGTGTATTATGCATAATTAGATTAGGTAGAACTATGAGACATACACAATTTGATTTTCTAACAATTTCCGTTAAGTATAGAAAATCAAATTTGAGTCTACCAATAGTCATATATGGAATGATCTTAATCCTGAGTTATTAGTAGACTCCGATTTGTGAATTCGTCTTTATTTGACTTACTCGGTACGGATTTTGATATTCTAAATCCTATTCATTGTATCTTAGAAACATGATTATTTAATAGTTGAGTATACTAATATACAAGATGGAATCCATTCCTTCTTCTTTGAAGTAGATAAATATTTTCCTTGAGGATTGATTCGGTACTTGAATAAATAACGAGCTCGTATTCATGAATGTGTTTTATGAATATACTATTCATTAGAAAATCAATGGTACTCAAAGATAAATATGTAATTAGAGAGGTTAATGGATTTTACCTAACTCTTATGAATTATTTATGGATGCTTAATCTATATGTAGTAACTATATCAAATGAACCCTTCAAGTTCTTAGAAGTAAATTATGACTATAATTTCGAGAGTGCAATTCCAAATTTTTAGTGGAATAACTTTTGGAATTAATAAAATTAATTAATTAATTAAAGAGTTTAATTAATTATTAATTTTATTAGAGCTCCGAATTATAGGTCCATGAGTCCCCGTGTCCTCCTTGTAATATTTGCAAGATAAAGTGAATTATTGGGATTTAATGTCACTCGAAAAAAATAATGTAATTATTTAATTAAATTAATTTCAGAACACACTGTGGTGGGACCACATGAGGCCACATGCCCAGGCATAAGGAGGTGCATGCGTCATGTGACACAGGGATAATCTCACTGGGATTCAGTTTGTTGCTCTCTAAGATACCCGGTTGACTTGTTTGACAAGTATTATGATCAAATTCAAAAGAAAAGTGAAGTTTGGCTTTATTTAAATTTGAATTTTAGCTAAAATTAGAAACTGGATAAATGATGAATTTTTCCTCCTTCTCTTGCCTAATTTGCACCTGTTGGTTTCTCAAACTAGATTTTCAAAAAAAATTGTGTGGAAGCGTGATATCGATCGAATCACATAAATCAAAATTTAATGCGATCATTATTTCATGTTAATTTAACTACAAAGATATTAAAGAAAGGAATGAGGATTTGACCGTCGTTTGATTAGGACGTAAATCTTGAACTCTTCCAACACCGTCTTGAGCTCTTAAATTCTAAGAACATCACGGTTCTTTCTCAATGTATCTCCGGATTAACATGAACTCGAACGTGTAGGCGTTCTAATGGGTTTCTCAACACATGAGATAGATGAATAGGGATGCCACCTATAGTTATCACTCACTTTTCTCAAAAGTATGTGATAGTACTCTAGAAATGTTCCCTTTTGGTTTTTCTTTTTGTTCTCCTGTTTTTCACCCTTTCTGTTCTCTGAAAAAAAAAATTTAATCCACGCTGAGGATTAAAAACCGTTCACACCGAGGAACTCATTCCTCTCTGTCTGTGACCTTTTCCTCATAGCGTTTCCTCCCACTTCCATCTCTTTTTTTTTTTTGAGGAAACGTGCACCTGCACGTTTCCTTTCTTATTACAAGAAGGAAACATGGAGAAGAAAATTCTTCTAAATTCATCCAAATTAAATTTAAAATAATTTTAATATTAATTAATCAAATTAATTAATATATGTGTATTTAGAATTCTCAATTCTATATTAATAATCATAACTCAATATGATATATTCAGTTCATATTATCTTATGGAGCCATTGAGAGGAACTATGGACATTATTATTTTAAGCTCCAATAATTTTTGACAATTAATTAACACCTTAATTAATATATCAAAATTATTAATTCTAAATTACTCCACTATAAATTTGGAATTGCACTCTTAAAATAATAAAATAATTATGTTCACAAAATTTGTGTTGTCCATTGATATAGTCACTACATACGAATCAATCCTCCATAAACGGTTCATAATTAAAGCTAGGTATTTTTCGTTAACCTCTTTAATCATATCTTTCTCCATAAGTACCATTGATCCTCTAATGAATAATATATTTTATGATCCAATCATAAAATTGAGCGCTCTTATTATTCAAGTTCCGGATCAACACTTACGGGAACTGTCCATCTACTTCATTATGAAGGAATGGATTTCATCTTGTAAATTAATATTCCCGGCTATTTATTTTACTATGCTCCCAATATACCATGACTTTGACACTATTTTACTATGCTCCTCAAATATTGAGTATGTGTTTGACTGCAACCCAATGATCTAATCCTAAGTTTGACTGGTATCTGCTAACCAACCCTACTGCATAACATATGTCAGGTCTAGTACATAGCATTGCATACATCAGGCTACCAACTACCGATCCTCGTCTCATATCCTCTTCCTCTTGAGGTGTCTTTAGACACTTTTCTTGGAGAGATAAACTCCATGTCGAGAAGACAAATTTCTTTTCTTGGAGTTTTGCATCGAAAACCTGACAAGCACCTTGTCAATATACGATGCCTGAGACAATGCCAAAAGCCTATTCTTGCGATCCCAAATAATTTGGATCCCAAGAATATAGTGGGCTTATCCCAAATCCTTCATTTGGAATTGGCTGGCTAGCTAGTTCTTTACTTTGAATAACGATTCTACATCATTCCCAATAAGCAGAATGTCATCTACGTAAAGAACCAAGAAGACCACTTTATCTCCTTAAATTTGCTTGTAGACATAAGGTTCACCAAGATTTTGTTCAAAGCCATAAGATTTTATAGCTTCGTTAAATCTGATGTTCCAAGATCTAGATGCTTGCTTTAGTCCATAAATGGACCTCTGCAATTTGCAGACTTTCTGCTCTTGGCCTTCTACCACGAAACCCTCTGGTTGGACCATATGAATGGTCTCTTCAAGATGGTCATTCAGAAACGCCGTCTTGACATCCATTTGCCATATGTCATAATCATAATGAGCAGCAATGGATAAGAGTATGCGAATAGATTTTAGCATGGCTACAGGGGAAAAAGTATCCTCATAGTCTACTTCTTCCTTTTGGGTAAAACCCTTTGCAACCAATCTTGCTTTGAGCGTTTCAACTTTTTCATTAGCTCATTTCTTTCTCTTATAGATCCATTTGCAACCAATAGGCTTAACGCCTTCTGGTAGGTCTACAAGCTCCCAGACAGAATTGGAGTACATAGACTCCATTTCAAGTTTCATGGCTTCTTGCCATTTTCTTGATCAATATCATCCATCGCCATCCTGTATGACAGTGGATCTTCTTCACTGCCATCGGTGACTGCAACATTTGCTTCTCCATTTTCATGATAGCAGGTTGGCAATCTTATTTCCCTCCCACTGCGTCGTGGTGGCGGTGGTGTTTGATCATGGTCAGTGGTCTCCCTTCTTTGTCATTCAACAACTGTTGTCAGCATGGGGCTAATCTGGTCAGCCAGTAACTCTTCCAGAACTATCTTGCTTCTGGGCTTGAAATGTGCCATATAGTTATGCTCAAGAAACGTAGCATTTGTCGATACAAACACTTTGTTATCCTGATGACTATAAAACATGCCTCCTCTTGTTCCTTTGGATGGCCCACAAATATGCAGACTTCCGAGCGAGGTTCCAACTTCCCAGTTTTTCCCTTCAACACATGTGCTGGGCATCCCCATATGCGAATGTGTCTCAAACTAGGTTTGCGACCATTCCACAACTCTAGGGGTGTTATGGGGATTAACTTAGATGAAACTAAGTTTAGAATGTATACTGTTGTTTGCAATGCATATCCCCAGAATCAAGTGGGTAAAGAAGAATAACTTAACAGTGATCTCATCATGTCAAGTAAGGTGCGGTTTCTTCTTTCAGCTACACCATTTTGTTGTGGTGTGCCAAGTGTAGTGAGCTGAGATATTATTCCATTTTCAATCAAATGGTCTTTGAATTCATAATCCAAGTACTCTCCTCATCGATCTGATCGAAGAGTTTTGATTGATTTGCCTAGTTGCTTTTCAACTTCGACACGGAATTCTTTGAACTTTTCAAAGGTTTCGGATTTCTTTTGCATTAGGTATGTATATTCGAATCTCGAATGATCATCAATAAATGTGACGAAGTATTCATAGCCTCCCATCGCTTTGACATTCAAAGGACCACATACATCGGTATTTATGATTTCGAAGGGTGTCTTTGCTCTTTCACCCTTTGCTGAAAATGGCCTCTTGGGAGTGCCAACCTTTAGCTCTCTCAAAGGACCATCCTTTGCTAGCATTTCAATCCTATCTATGTTTATATGACCTAGCCTTAGATGCCACATGTATGTTTCATTTTCGTTAGAAACCTTTCTTCTTTTAGGGGTTGGTTCAGTGACTTTGAACATTTCAGTTTGTAGCATTTCGTTGAATATGGTTTTAACAAAGTAAAGACCATCATCAACAAAATCAGAACAAATATGAATTCCATTCTTAGATAAAGATACAAATTCAATATCAAGAGAAACTGAAACAAATTGTTCATGCAACCTAGAAACCGAAACCAAATTCCGTTTGAAATTCAGAATAAAATAAACATTGTCTAACAATAAATATTTATTATTTGCAAAAGACAATCGCACTGTCCTTACTGCCGTCGCTGAGATCCTTGCCCTATTGCCCACTCTCATCTGGAAAGCTCCCTCTTCAAGATCCCTGGACGTTTCCAGCATCTACAAAGAAGTACAAACATGATTAGATGCCCTTGAATCAATTATCCAGGTAGAGAAGTCATTCTCAACTAAACATGTTTCCATGACCAGTAAATCTGATTTACCTTACTTCTTCACTTTCAGCTCATCGAGGTACTTTTTGTAGTTCCTCTTCCAATGGCCGTCCTGGTTGCAGTGGAAACATTTTCCGTTAGACTTTGGAGCATCCTTGTTCTGCTTGTTCTTCTGGATCTTCTTCTTCCATTTTGCCCTTATTGTTCCCTTGATTCTTCTTCTTCTTATTCTTTGATGAAGAAGGCCTTCCCTCAACTGCGTTGGCTTCAGCAACGTTTGCCTTGCCTCCCTTATCACCTGTAAGGGACTCAAATTGTTGCAGCTCATTCAGGAGCTCAGTTAAGCTATCATTCTTTTGGTTCATTAGATAACTTGTCCTGAATGGAAGAAAATCAGGAGAAAGTGTCTCTAGTATCATGCCAACCTGAGTTTTCTCATCAATGTGAGACCCATTAATTTCAGCCTCATTAAGATGATTAATCATCTTAAGCATATGTTCACGTACAGAAGAACCATTCTTCATACGGTCGTTCATAACAGCTTTGACAGCAGCGTGTCGGGCTGAATCAGATGGACGTCCAAACATCCTCTGAAGAGTGTCCATGATCTCTTTAGCACTTGCAAGGCCTTCGTGCTGAGTTCTCAGCACTTCATTCATTGCTGCTAACAGGTAACAACGGGCCTTGTTGTTGGCGTTGATCCATCGATCATATCGCTCGGCCAAAGCCCAGGCGGCGTTGGCTGGAGGCACTGGAGGACAATCCTCCTTAACGATAAAATGGTAGTTTTCACAGATCAAGAGGATATTCATGTTGCTTTTCCATTTGACAAAGTTTTCACCATTCAAAATTTGGGAAGCGAGAAGTGCGAAAATAGGATTTGACATTTTTGCTGAAAATAAGAAATTTAACTCAATCAATATTTTTCATAAATATCACTACTAAATTTAAGGCATATAAATATGATGCATGAATGCACATGTTAAATACACAAATACATGTTTAATTGCCTAAGGAATTTTAATCACCACAATTAAGTGCAGCCGTAGGGTAGGTCAAATAATTGTTAATTAAAATGAGACCATCTCAATTAATAAATACTATCTGAAATATCTCATACTTCTAATATTTATTAATTTCCTTTATTTAGGTCAAGAAAATAATTAACCAATTTAATTATCTCTTTATGAGTGTAACCCACCGCTTCAAATCTTTTAGACTTAACTTAGAAGTTGCTGCCGTAGGGTAGGTCAATTCTAAAATACATCTTAGAGATCCTATCTCTTTAGAAGTCAACCTTGTTATTATAATTAATGACTACCCTCCGTAGGGAGGACGAAATCAAAGCGTCTCGAGGCCTCATTAATTACTCACGGTGTTGTACTAATGGTGAAGACCTATGGGTTATATTGTCATATTACCTGCTCCCACTCATTATTTACAAATGATGTATTTATTTTATAAAACAACTCTTGCTTTATACTTCTCAGCGAATTTAAACAATTTAAGTCACTAAGATCCAAATAATTTTAAACAACTTTAAAATTATATTAAGTCATTTGTGAATTTTAAAATTTAACATTTAAATTTATAAATTTCACATTTGACTTATTTACATTTTGTAAAAACCATTTGCTAAATAATTTATTTAAATTTAATCTCATTAAATTTAACAACTTCAAATTTAATCTTATTAAATTTAATAACTTTGAATTTAATCTCATTAAACTCAACAATTTGGCACATTTAATTAATTTAATTTACTAAAACAATTTTAGAATTAAAACATATAATTAATGCGCATGATGCATGTCATACATATAAACTAAGTAGGCACTTTTTATCCTAGATGGCATGTTAAATGCATGACAATACAATTATTATCAAACACAGTAGATAAATAAATAACATGCAAGCGAAATGGAAAAACTTGGCCGGGTTCCATGGACCTAAGAATTACGACCCCAAAGTAATAATAAAAATAAAATTACATCAAAAATAGGTCTTCTTGTAATTCTCCGTCTTCAAGTATTCTCCATCTTCATGTCTCTTTTCCGGTGGATTAAAAAAAAATTGGGTTTGGGCTTTTCTGGGCTGTCAAAAACAGCCATTTACTACACTTGGGCCGGCTGGAAAAGCCAGCCCATTCCATGTAATGCCTCTGCCTCATTACTGAGGCAGAGCACCACATAATGGGCTTGGGCCTTTGCACCATGAGGTGAAAAGCTCAAGCTCCCGTGACTGCACCTGAAGGTGTAGTCACTTGCAGCAGCTTGAAGGCTGCTGCACTGCCATGGTCGACCTTCGGCCATGGCAGCCGCCCCTTCGCCGACGACTGTCGCCGGAGACTGTCACCGGCGACCGTACGGTCACCGAAAAACCTTTTTTTTTTAATAGTTTGGAACTTTTCTAAAAAATAAATAGTTGAAACTCTTCCATGATGATCCTCTTGTGTTAGGAGAATAATAATTACATATTGATTCCTATTTTACAATTGATCTAATCAAAATAAAATAGCAAAAACTAATTCCATGGAATCGGAAAAATTTACGACTAATCCATTCGCATAAAACATAACCATCACACAATAATTATACATCATATGCATAAGTGCTTACCCATTATACATCTAAGAATTATCACATAATTAAACGTTAAATTAGCATGAAATAAAGACCGCTCTGATACCAATTGTTGGTTTCTCAAACCGGATTTTCAAAACAAATTGTGTGGAAGCGTGGTATCGATCGAATCACATAAATCAAAATTTAATACGATCATTATTTCATGTTAATTTAACTACAAAGATATTAAAGAAAGGAATGAGGATTTGACCGTCGTTCGATTAAGACGTAAATCTTGAACTCCTCCAACATCGTCTTAAGCTCTTAAATTCCGAGAACACCATGGTTCTTTCTCAATGTATCTCCGGATTAACGTGAACTCGAACGTGTGGGCGTTCTAATGGGTTTCTCAACACATGAGATGGATGAATAGGGATGCCACCTATAGTTACCACTCACTTTTCTCAAAAGTATGTGATAGCACTCTAGAAAATTTCCCTTTTGGTTTTTCTTTTTGTTCTCTCGTTTTCACCCTTTCTGTTCTCTGAAAAAAAAAAATTAATCCACGCTGAGGATTAAAAACCGTTCACACTGAGGAACTCCTTCCTCTCTGTCTGTGACCTTTTCCTCATAGGGAGGAAACGTGCAACATCACGTTTCCTCCCCCTTCCATCTCTTTTTTTTTTTTTGAGGAAACGTGCACCTGCACGTTTCCTTTCTTTTATATATATATATATATATATATATATTAACGTGGGGAGGGAAGAGATTCTCACCTTTTATATGATTAAATTCATCCATCTTAATTTAAAACAATTTTAAATTATTTTTAATATTAATTTATCGAATTAATTAATATATGTGTATTTAGAATTCTCAATTCTATATTAATAATCATAACTCAATATGATATATTCAGTTCACATTAATCTTATGGAGCCATTGAGAGGAACTATGGACATTATTATTTTAAGCTCCTTAAAATTAATTAACACATTAATTAATATATCAAAATTATTAATTCCAAATTACTCCACTATAAATTTAGAATTGCACTATTAAAATAATTAAATAATTATGTTCACAGAATTTGTGTTGTCCATTGATATAGTCACTACATACGAATCAATCCTCCATAAACGGTTCATAATTAAAGCTAGGTATTTTCTGTTAACCTCTTTAATTATATCTTTCTCCATAAGTACCATTGATCCTCTAATGAATAATATATTTTATGATCCAATCATAAAATTGAGCGCTCTTATTATTCAAGTCCCGGATCAACACTTACGGGAACCGTCCATCTACTTCATTATGAAGGAATGGATTTCATCTTGTAAATTAATATTCCCGGCTATTTATTTTACTATGCTCCCAATATACCATGACTTTGACACTATTCACATGTGTCATTACTCAATATGTCAAAGAACATAATATCATAAATAGGAGTTTATTAATTACTCACACTAAGATTAATTCATATATGACCATCATTGATTAATATTGAATACTCTATTTAATAACAGAATTTATTAGAGATTCATAATTAATCGCGTTCCGGTCCTATGTAATCATATTACATAAAATGCTTTCATTCTAATAATCTCATTATTAACAATCTAGGATAAGATTGTTTCATTCAGAATGTAATGAACCGCATTAGTAATTTAAAATTAAAGATCCCAACTTTAATTTATAATTACGGACAAGTTTAGATTATTTTATTTCAAACATTATCCTCTGCATATAACAATTATATACAATGTTTAAAGTTACATCAAAAAATAATCTAGAGATTTTGATATTTATAAAACATCACATGTATGCAAAATAATATTGAAAAAATTCCTCATTTCATTGATAATCAGCAAAATATTTACATCTTATTTGATTTATGGGCATACATCCTAACAGCGCCAACCACAAGTAGATCAAAAGATACGAACATGAGTCACAAGTAGATCTCCATATTTATGAATAATAAATCAACGCAAACATGAGTCATATCTCCAACATACAGGTATGCATACCTTCAACAATATCAGGATGTCATCCTTTGGTACATCAAAAGAAACAAATCACATATATGGATTTATTATTCATCTTAGGATTTAGATAATCACATATAATTAGTCAAAAGTGAAGTGTTGATTAAAACAATTTCAACTTTGGTACAATCTAATATATATTCCATGAATGGAACTATATAAGTATCTCTTTCCATGAAGTTCCACTCTGACGACGAAGACAGACTATCTCCGTTAGAAAATAGATAACATAATAATCTTATTATAAATAAAGCGGTTAATGTTTTACTTCGATTGCGGATCATATTATTTAGTCTATTATTTTCTTCTACATGTTTTTCACATTATATACACGATTTAAAAATTTAAAATGATAGTCTCAAACTTTCAGTTTATTTATCATACATTCATATGAATGTAAAGAAGACATTACTTGATACATATGAAAAAATAAATAAACATTTAGTTTTTTACATTTATTGTTTATGGTTTATTGCTCCAGTGTGTTTTGGGTTTCTAGTCTTTCCTTGTTTTGGCTGGTTTATCATGTGGTGTATCCTCAGACTAATGTTTTCTGACATTTGCCTCCGTAATGGAATCTCATTTTTAGCAAAAAGGAAAAAAAAAAAAGTTGTGTTTTGGAAATTAGTATATATATTGTTGGAAGTTTATTTTTTAGGGAAAAGTTTGCAGGATTTGATTTTTTTTTTTGGGAAAGTTGTCGAAATTTGTATAATTTGTTGTGTTGAAATAGGTTTAATTTATTTCGGAAGTGAATTATCAATATATTTAGAATATTAATTACTATAAATTATCTTACAATATTCTAATTACTCTTAAAAGCAAATTCTGAGAAATTAAAACATTTTCATCATTATTGTAAAAATTATGGTCATAAGTTGGTAAGAAAAAACATTATTCTCAAATCTATTTTAATCTTAAAAATCATTATTCTTAAGAAAAAAAAGTGTAACAATCATTTAAAAATATATTGTAATACTGGTTTTATAAGGAATTCGTACGATGAAAAAAAGTGTAACAATCATTTAAAAATATATTGTAATACTGGTTTTATAAGGAATTCGTAAGATAGAGGATATTTACATCATTATTGAAAATAGAGAGTGAGAATTTGTAATTTGATAAAATATAAGGTTTGTTTTGTAATTATATTTTTGGAATTTGGGTTATTATTAGGTGTGTGTGACCACATACAATCTCACTGAGATAATGTCAACCTTTAAATTGTACCCTACCAATAAGAAAAATAAGGCCCACTACCGTACCTAACTAAAAAGGCCTTTTGCATTGTTACCAAGATTCACAAATCAATCATTGAACTTTTTTTTGCTTAAAAATTGGTAATTGAAACTTGAGAGAAAGAAGAAAATAAGTTAAGACTTTAGATGAATTAAAATTAATAGGTTAATAGTTTATATAAATTAATAAATATGTTAAATTATTGTTTTCGTTCATAATTTGTCTGGTTATGAATCATAACTTGACAAGTTATTGTCCATAATTGTCCATAATTTGTTTGGTTATGAACTATAACTTGACAAGTTTGTCTATAACTTATTTAGTTATGAATCATAATTTAACAAGTTATGACCTATTAATTTTTATAACTAAAAATTTACCTATATACTTTCTTAAACTTTTTATATATTTTTAACTATTTTCCTTGAAACTTCAAAATATGTTGGGCTAGTGATCCAATTGATAACATCTATCAAATTATAAACAGTCTCTGCCACATGAGAATCACATGACCTTTTCTCAAGGTTGTTAAGAGCCTGTTTGTTTTCGTACGTTTAAAATTATGATTCTAATTCTATTATAATATTTTTCTCTCATAAAATATAAATAAAAAAAGTTCTCATGAATGATTTTTTCACAAAATTTAATTTAAAATCAAAATTATTGTAGACGATTAGTTCATGGATTTAAAATCATGATTCAGAATCATTCTCGATTTACGTGTGTTTTTTGTGAGAGAAAATACTGTAGCGAACTATGAAACATGATTCGAATCAGAGTGCGTTTAGTTGGTGGATTCATGTCATGATTCGAATCATGATTCGTGGTTCACTACAGTTTTTTCTCTCACAAAAAATACACATAAATAAAAAATAATTATGAATTATGATTATAAATTTATAAACTAAACGTCCACTAATTTAAACGCGTGAACCAAACGAAACATAAGTATCTTCTCATAAACCAAATGAAAAAAAATAATAAAAAAAAAGAAACCAAAAACAAAAAAAACAAAAAAACCCATAATTGGCATTAGAACTTTAGAAACACCTCCCCCACAAAGGTGGATCTCCAAGTTCCGCATCACAACGACCCTTCCCTATTAGATCTCCTCATCGCAAGACTCTTCTTACCATCATCAGATCCAGGCGTCACCGTACCTCCTCCGTCGCTAGTTATTGTCGTTGCTTCTTTCGCTTGTCAAATCTCAGACTCACCGCATCCCTATCTGTTAGATCTCGCCGGCGCCACAAGTCTGCTCTTTGGAACTTTGTTCTTTTGGGTTTTGTAATTTTAGGTTGTGTATTGGTGTATTCTTTTTTTGTGGGTTCTAAGTTTTAAGCTTTTTGTTTGAATTTTCTTTTTCTTATCTTATACTGTGATGGGAAGGAAGGAAATTACATGAAATTGCAGCATTTTTCCAAGGTGGGTTCTGGAAGAAAATTATTTTCCAAGTTGATTCCAACCTCAAGTTTGTATTATTTTCGTACTTTGTTTTTTTGTTTTTTTTTTTCCTTTTCTAATGCATGATGAGGGAATATAGCATGTTGCTGTTTCATTCTTTTGGACCAATTCGATCTGATTAATCCACCCAACCTAATCCATTATAACTCAAATTTGACCAATTCGATCAAGAAATCAACCTAATCCACTTCATCTGATTATTAATTAAGTGGGTTTAAGTAGAGTTTTTTTAAACTTAATTTAATCTGAACCCATCTAATCTATTTATATATTAATAAATATTTTTCTACCTCATAATGTGTAATATTTATTTTATATTTTAAATTATTTACTTAAAATTTATTATGTTTTATGTTGTATGGTTTTTATTATTATTTGTTTATTAGTTTACAATTTATATATTTAAACTTGCTTTGCATATATTTTATTTTGTATTAGTTTAGAATTTATGAGATAATTAAAGCTTTATAAGATTGGTATTATGATGAAATTATATATATATATATTATTTTGAATTAAATAATTATTTTTATTTTTATTTTTTATTATGTTCAACCTGATTAACCTACCCAACCCACTCAAAAATATCAACACTTGCTCTTCTTTGTTTCTTTTTTTGGAGCTGATTAGGATTGAATTTGGCGAAAGACATTGCTACTACTAGAGTCGTCCTCTGAGAAATTACCAGACCAAAGTTGCAATTATAAAACTTTGTTTTAAACATTTTTTTTTCGTTCAAGTTAACTTGGACTAAATTTAAAAAGGATTAAGTAATTTTCTTAATTTCCTAGTTATGTTCCTGGCTAACTGGGATAGTTTGGTTCATTGATTAAAATCATGTGATTAAAATTATTTTTGATTTACGTGTATTTTTTATGAGAGAAAATATTGTAGCGAACCATGAATTATGATTCAAATTATGGTTTGAATCTTCCAACCAAACATCCTCTTAGACCAACACATTTTGAAGTTTAAAAGTGTAATAATCGAGAAAGAAAGTTCAGAAACTGATTTACTAATTACGTAAAAATTTAAGAGGTAACAGTGCAAAAAAAAAAAGAAACAAATAAAAATAAGCTAATAGATCATGATAGAGTTTGTGATATTTTAAGGGAGTTTTTTTAATAAAATTAAAAAAATAAACTAATAATATATTTTTATTTTTATACTGTTAAATTTATATTAAAAATTAGGAAAATAGTAGAAAATATGCCAATATGAAAAACTTAAGAAAGTATATAGGCCAATTTTTAGTTATAGAAATTAATAGGCCATAATTTGTCCAATTATGGTTCATAACCAGATAAGTTATGGACAAACTTGTTAAGTTATGGTTCATAGCCAGACAAGTTATGGACAAAAATTGTGAATTATTGACAATAACTTGTCAAGTTATGGTTCATAACCAGACAAACTATGAACGAAAACAATAATTTAACATATTTATTACCTTATGTAAATTATTAATCTATTAATTTTAATTCATCTCAAATTTTAATTTATTTCCTTCTTTCTCACTCTATGAACGAAAACAATAATTTAACATATTTATTACCTTATGTAAATTATTAATTTATTAATTTTAATTCATCTCAAATTTTAATTTATTTCCTTCTTTCTCACTAAAAATTAATTAGTAGGCCCATATTTTGTTTTCGTTCATCCAGTAGGCCCCAAAACTTAAAAGAGAACTGAAGTGGAATTGTACGAGAGACAATTTGTGAGCTCTTTTTTTTTTATTTTAATAATCACAACAATTTGTGAGTTTTTATTGTGAAAAGTTCACTCAATAATTTTGAAAATAACAATGAAAATAACTAAAACACGGAGCAAAGTGGCAACTGACTTCTGACTAGTTGTTAGCTTTTGGTGCATATTCTGCCAACGAACGAACCCAAACAACGCACGGAGGACGAGAGAGAGGAGAGAGAGAGAGCCATTTCTCTGCTATTAACACACCTCCGTTACAGGAAACGCATCAAAACTACACAATTCACGATGGTGGGCGCAATAAAGGCGGCGGTAGGTGACGCGGTGCTGACATTTATGTGGATCTTCTGCGCCTCCACTCTCGGCGCCGTCACCGCCGTGGTTTCGTCGGCGATCGGCGTTCAAGGCCTCCTATGGCCGTCTCTATTCATCACGACTGTCCTCATCTTCCTCCTCGTCTTCGGTTTCTCCTTCATCGGCGAAGTCCTCGGCGGCGCCACCTTCAACCCCACCGCCACCGCCTCCTTCTACGCCGCCGGCCTCGGCTCCGACACTCTCTTCTCCATGGCCCTTCGCTTCCCTGCTCAGGTCTCTCCCCTTCTCTCTCTCTCTCTCTCTCTCTAGGTTTTTGGATTCTAGATATGACATCGTGATTGCCAAACCACATTTATTTCATTGTTTGTGCTGTCCTTAAGTGCTGTTGTTCGAATTCAATTTCGAAACATTTTATGAATTCATCAAACTGTTTTGAATTCTTTGATATCCAGGCCTACTCTCAATTTCATTCCGTTTGGATTTTTGCGGTATTGACGTTGTGTGGTATACAGTATTATATACAAGCTTTGATTTGTCAATGGGAATTTTTAGTGTTGATGTATGTTGGTTTGACAGGCATTGGGTGCTGTGGGCGGAGTTGTGGCCATAAAGGAGGTGATGCCGGAGCAGTACAAGCACATGCTTGGAGGGCCTTCTCTGAAGGTTGACTTACACACTGGAGCCATTGCTGAGGGGGTGTTGACTTTCGTAATGACCTTTATTGTTCTTGTTATTATTCTCAAAGGTCCTCGTAGTCCTCTTCTCAAGATGTGGTTGATTGCCGTCGCTACCGTGGCGATGGTTGTCGCAGGTTCTTCGTACACCGGACCTTCAATGAATCCTGTCAATGTCAGTAATTCATCTCTCCTTGTACTTGGTTGCTTTGTTGCTGATTTATGTCTACAAATTCATCGTACTGATTTAATGGTTTGAATGTCAGTAATTCATCTATCCTTTTATTTGGTTTGCTTTGTTGCTGATTTACGTCAATAAATTCGTCGTACTGATTTAGTGGTTTGAATGTCAGTAATTCATCTCTCCTTTTATTTGGTTGCTTTGTTGCTGATTTATGTCAATAAATTCATCATAATGATTTAATGGTGCATTAATGATGTTTGACTCTCTTTTCATTGCTTTTCTCATGTTGTGTCTCTGGCTGCCAAAATATCTTCTGATTGAGATTAATGTTTGGGTATTTGAATTCTATGCATTTAAACTAAAATTTGGTTGATATTCATTGTTAAAAGACATGCTTTGAAGATCACCTTTTCATTTGATAACAAAAAAACATTTTTTTTTTTCCAGTACCGTACTCTGTTTGCGATACATTGGTCTTATTTAATCCGTCCGTACTGTTTTAGCACACAACTAAATTATATTCGGTTATTCCTTGTTGTTGTCTTTCCATTTTGACACTTTTCCAACTGATTAGAAACTTCGTAAGCTTTGGAAATTGTATTTTCTTTAGCGTAGATTTGGTTATGAACACATGTAAGCTGACTGAAAGTAACGGAACGCTGTAGGCAAATTATTCCATACACATTTTGTATGCTAAAGGATGATAGTTGACAAATTCTTCTAATTTTGCTTCCCCTAATAACTTTTATTTGGAAGGATATGATAATTGTGTCGTGTTTTAGAGATAAGATTGAGTTCAAAAGGTCTTTCTTTTTAACCATCAGGGAATCCTGTTTTGTTGATTTCTATACCTTTTGAGTTCAGTATGGCATATTGTTTGAAATTGATGACCTCTTCTCAGCCCTTCCCGAATCATAGCACTTGATATCTACGGATCGTTAAGGATCTCCGTTTAGAGAGAACTTTTAGCTTATGGACCACTCCTTAAATAGTTATGTATTGATTGGATTGCTACGACATATGTTCAATGTTTGACTTATCTAGATATCAAAAAATACATTACTCAGACTTCACAAGTTCAACTAGAATAAGTGACTAACTATTTGATTTTTTACAAACTTATTTGCACCTTGAGACTAGACGAAATTGGTCATAACTTTTATTGCACTGGAGGGAAACATTGGCCATATGCTCTATTGGAAAATAGTGATATTAATATTGCAAAATTCTTATAGCCTTCTGTTTTAAGTTTCTCTCCAAATCACTTAAATCCTAACATGGAAAAGAAATATGAAACGTAAGCTATGAGCTAAAGGAAAAAATTTATTCCAATTACCAAACTTGCCTACATTTCCTAAATGCATGACAAAGAGAAAATGATTTTCATTTCTCCTTAAATTTTTCTTTCTAAACTTGCAAGTTGAAACATAAAATCGAGCATAAAATCATTTAGTGGTGAGTGTATTTATCGTCATAATTAATCAGGCAATCCTTTCTTGCTGGAGATTGCATGGTAGAGAATCTCTTTGTTATAGTGGAGAATTCATTTTTCCTTTTGCATCACGCTGAATCCATTCAATGAAGCACAAAACTTGGTCATTCGCAAGGTAGGTGACCCTAAGAAATTGAACCCCATGGCCCATATCATTTGGGAGCAAATGACATGCCTAACTGCTCAACGTGTGGGGTCTAGCGATGACTCCACTTTCGAACTTGGGTCTGCTAAGCAGGTTTTGGGGAATATCACAAACTAAACAAGAAAAGGACAATCAAAGGGTTTAGGAGAAGGAATAATGTAGCAAAATCTGACCTCAATATTAATAGCTCAAATAGATATTGGTCACTATTATTTGTCAATTACCTTTAGAAATTTCGTCAAAAATATAGTCACCAATAAGTTTCTTGCTCACCAGAGACATATTTACAGAAAGTAAACCTTTTTGGTCTTTAGTTCAGTAGTCAGTTAAGCTATTTGCCACAAACTCTCGGAGATTTCTGTTTGACCAGATTGATAGATTTGACTGCCTAGCTGTGTAATTTGGATTCATCTAGTAAGAATCGACTTTTCAATTAGAATCCTGCTTGTGTCAATCTGTGAACTTCAAGAATGCAAAAAAGGTAGGAATATTTTTAGTCATGGGAAAAGTATCGATTGTGGTATTTTTATAAGATCTTTGTGGGGGAGTCTAAGCTTAAAAATGATAACAGATGATTGGTCAAATCTTTTTTAGCAGAACGTCCCTGATAAAAACTTGTGATCTGGTTGTTTGTGCTCTGGACTAGTCTCCAATACTCTCTTTTGCAATGTCATATGCTCCCTTTATTCCCTTTTTCCTTCCTCTTTTCTCTCATACCAAGCAGCTCATTTTTTCCATGTTCTCTCCATCAGTCCCTCTGCTCCCCCTCCATCTTTCCACCTTTCGCCACTACCAAACAAAGCGTAAATGGGGTAAGTTTGTATACTTAAGTTAAAGATCCACGTCTCCAACCTCTCTGTATAGGTCTTCTATATTAGAACTTTGGGTCACGGACAAAGTTTAGGGCTTTTATTATTTTTTAAAATTCTCTTCTAGGATTTGTCTGTAATTAGATTTCTGCTAGATTATGGATGAATAGCTCAACAAGAAAGTAAAGACTTTTGTCAATGTTTTTTGGGACGCAAACTCATCTCTTGTTATGTTTCAATGCTTTTCCCTCTCTATTGCCCTCTTTTCGATCTCCGCTTGTTTTTCTTTTTGTATATTGCTTGCTTCAAAATTCAAATACAAAAAACAATTAGGCGTTCTTGTTTCTTCATTCTTCAAGTAGGGCTCATGCTTGATTTTTGTTTCTTTTCTTTTCTTCCCTTTTCTTTTTATGGATATGTAATTGTCTCATATCACGGGGAAGCCTAACAAGATGCATAATCTACTACTATACTGTCTTTGCAGGCCTTTGGTTGGGCTTATGTGAACAACTGGCACAACACATGGGATCAGTTTTACGTTTATTGGATTTGTCCCTTCATAGGAGCAGTGTTTGCTGCCTGGTTCTTCCGTGCTCTGTTTCCCCCACAAGTCAAAAAACAAAAGAAGGCCTAAAGAGCACATTAGCTCCTTGGCCATGGTCGTTAGTCGGTAGCCAGCCGGTAATAAGCAGCTTTCTTCCTTTGCTACTACTCTTTTATCTGTTTATCATCTCCTTAACGAGTAAGAATGTGATCCGACTTGTCGAGGAAATAGAATAGAGCATTTGCTTCCTTTTAAGTTTGTGGTGGCATGACTTTTCTATGTTTGATCAGAACACTGTTAATATCTTGGTTTAAGTTGCAGGTAGTTCTGGGGGTTCTTTTCAATCCTCCTTCATTTCCTTGTTTTTATTGTGATACACCCATTGGTATGATATACTTCTCCGCGAGGAATGTCATTTATCGTGACCAAATGATATAACGTGTTGAAGTGACTATGTAACATGACATTTTCTCTTTGTAGCAATGACTTTGTAAGAGTCCATTTAACAATAAAACTATGTAATGTGTACAACAAGAATAATTTATTCCTCATACTAAGACACCTTTGCAAAGTTATTATTACATAGGATAAATATAATATTATGTTACAATAGAGGACCGGTCTTTTGCAAAAGATTGATGATAAAGCACCTTAATTTTATTCTATACAAATATTGTCTTTAGCCATAACAAAATAACAAGCAATTGTCACGTCACTTGGTATAGTATAAATTCTTAGAATTTATTTCTCTATGTCTAAACAGCCCGGCTTTGCGTTTGTTGGGCAGATCTATTTATGCCATGTTTGAAAGGATCTTCTCTCAGGTTTTTTTTTTTTTTTTTTTTTTTTTTTTGGGGGGGCTTTGTAGATTTCGTTGTTGCATTTGTTCTTTTTTTTTTTTTGCCTTAATTTAGATTAAGTTGGTCATAATCAACATAAAAGAAAAGTGCCATAACCACATGGTCATCTGAATACCTTTTTCTCATTCAATACCTTGGAGAGGAGTCGCCAAAAGTGCACTTACTTTAGAGGGTATTGCGACTGCATTGAATTCATATGAAAGCATCTTTAGATTTAAGATTTTGAACTGTCTTTATTTCATTCGGTTTTTTTTTTTTTTTTGTGGCCTGGCTAAGTCAATCATGTTTGATTAATTGTCTGCATGAGATTTGAGAAATTAGGTGTGGTGGCGAAACGTCTTTCAATAAGTGTTACTATATCATATATCCCCTTGACTATCCCCGAATAATTGTCATATCATGTTAATATAACAACCTAGCCTTATAAATAGAAATTAAATACTCAAAACACTTTAACAGATAAACGAAGTGTCAAAAATATGGTTTGAGGAACAACCAAGGGACAAGAAAATTATACACAACTTATATCTATAAAGATTGTCATCTTACATAGTGCCCAAAATTTTAGAGTATAAGCTCACAAAAGGCTAAATATAATTGGTGTTTACTACCATATGGGTCATGAATCACATGGCCTCTTAATCTTGTAAAATCATATCAAAATAAAAAAAAATTATATATATATATATATAAATTTAAGGAATAAATTCATCAAAGTCCCTCAATTCTTTTCTTTCTTTAGAATTTGCTCCTGTAGTCAAATTTTTTTCATAAATAGGCCCTCAACTGAAAAAGTATCTTATAAATGGTTCATTGTAAAAATTTTAAATGGAAACTGTTAAATTAGAGAGTGGTTATGATTTTTGAGTTATTTTAAAGGTTTAATACCACTCTTATACTTTTTCTTATTTGAGATCTCTAACCTGCTTTACTTCTCTGAAACTAGTTATTGAACTTCTTTTTCACTACAATTAATTTCTAAATTGTTATCTTTTGTTGTTTGTATCAAATTTCATCTGAGTGAATTTACGGTTTTAGGTCCTCCTGATAATCCTAACGCTAAGAAGGAAGAGTTTTAAATTCTATCTACTTAATAAAAAATAGTTTAGTTAGTTTATAAGAGACTTTCTTCGGTAAGCCAGCCTATTAATATGAGTAAAGACTGTTAGATTTGATTAACATCACATTAGATTAAAAACAATATACAGAATTAACAATTTCTCATATAAATTTAAAGGTTGAAAAATAAAATATTACCGGTAGTTAATCTTTTTCACTTCTATTAGAAAAAATTCTATTTTATGAATTTTATAAAACATATATAATTCAAACAAAACTCAAAAAAGGAAAAAAGAAAAAGCACTAATGTTAGAGGAAAAGAAGATCAGCAACTCGTTATAGAGAGAAAAAAAAATTCAAAAATTGATTTAGAGAAGGAAAAAAAAATCTTTAAGGAGAAATTCAAAAAGAAATCTTTAAGGACGTCTCAAAAAATAAAAGTTGAGTATTATTAAATCCTTAAAATAACACAAAAATCATAACAACCGTCCAATATAACGGTTTCCATTCAAAAATTTGACTGAGAGGCCATTTATGACATATTTTTTGAGTTCAAATACTATATATAGGATAAATTTAACTACTAGGACTAATATAGAGAGAAAAGAATCCGTAGACGTCTCATGAATTTATTCTTAAATTTAACAAAATTGGATATATATGTAATTTTAAAAAAAAATTATACACCGGTTTGTTTTTTAAAACATGGTACACTGGTTTTTCTGATTTGAGATGAAATTTTCCTTTCCCAAAAATAAAAAATAAAAAATAAAAAATAAAAATTGTGCACCGATATTTATATATACATATCACAGTAAAGGTTTACCATCAAATTATTTTGTAACGCATAGCTTTCTCTCTTGTTCTTATTAGGGCGTGTTGGCACTTTCCCATTTCCAATCCATAATAAAATGGTTAAAGCTTTGTTGAGGCATCTCTTGATTGTAAAGTTTTTGAATATTTTATTTAAAATTATAAACATCACGAGAGATTTCTGTAATTCATGTCTTCATGGCCACAAGTCCTTTTGTGAAGATCAATAAGAAGACGTTTAGTTGATGGATTCAAAATCTTGATTTAGAATTATTTTTAATTTACGTGTATTTTTTATAAAAAAAAATACTGTAACGAGTCACGAATCATGATTCAAATCATGACACAAAAAGGCCCGTTCATTTCGCCGATTCGAGTTTAGAATTCGAGTTTTGCTACAGTAAAAAGCTCTCAGAAACAGTCACATCTAACTTTTTTACTACAGTAAAAAGCTCTCACACAAAATCACATCTCAACTTGAATTATAAACTCGAATCAGCGAAGTGAACGGGCCCTAAAAATCAAAGGCATCCTAAAAAATATTTTCCATATCAATGCTTCATATTCTGTCAGTACAAGTCAAAATTTTCGTTGACATTTTTGCTTTTCTTTCGGTAGTAGGTGAAGTAAGCTACAAATTATATGGTTTTTTTGATAATAAAGTTTTGGGTAACTTACATAAATGTCTATTTTGTGCATTTAAAATCTAAAAATACATGCCTTTTTATTTATTTACAAAACTGTAAGCTATTATATATAAAGACATTTATATCCTCCTATAATGAAAAAAGGGAAAAATGAAACATCAAAATTGAAAAGAAAATAAACAAAATAAAAAAGAAATATCCACGAATGTTTTACACCTATTCAACATTAATATTTTTCAACATTTATATTTGCAAAAAATAAAAAACTCTGCCCTAAAGTTCTCCAACCACGACATATCCTCCAAATCCCCTCCGTCCTAGAATCAATTTTGGCCGATGAAATTGAACCCACCATCAAAATGAACTCAGACCGCCCCTCAAATTGGAACTTTGATGAGAAAAAAATTGCCACATGTTGATATCCGATTTTGTACTACGCTCATTTAAGAGTCCAAGCCCAACCTTCGAGTCATGTGATGTCATTAGGCTCACTTCGTGGACTCTAGTCACACTCAGAGAACCTACGTAGGTCGTAGTTTGGTGGGTCATATGTGATCACGTAAGGTTATTTATCATTATTTTAATATTAATTTAAGTCCCACTTGGGGGTTTTTAATAACCGAATTAAATATAAATAGGTGACAGAGAATTAAAGCTATTTGGTAAGCCAAATTTTGACTGAAGATAATGCATCTACATCATTTCTAATGAGTAGAACAACATTTAACAACAGAAAAACTACCTTCCGGTCTTTAATATGCTTATAAACATAAAGTTCATCCATATTTTTCTGGAATCCATAAGTTTTGACTACTTCGTCAAATCTTTTATTACAAGACTAAGAAGCTTGCTTTAATCTATAAATAAATTTAAGCAATTTGTAAAATTTTCCCTCTTGATCCTTTAGTCATAAAGTCTTCTGGTTGTAATAGATAGATATTTTCCTCAAGATAGTCATTCAAGAATGTCGTCTTGACATCCATTTGTCATATCTCGTAATCAAGAGCAGTTGCAATTAATAAGAGAAATTCAGATGGACTTTAGCATGGCTACAAGCAAAAAGATTTCCTCGTAATCGATTTCCTCTTTTTGCATGTATTCTTTAGTTATCAATCTAGCCTTATAGATTTTGACCTTCCTATATGCATTCCATTTACACGTAATAGGTTTTATCCCATCAAGAAGCTCTACATGTTCCCAGACGTGATTAGAATCTATTGATTCTATTTCAGCTTTCATGGCTCCAGTCTAGAGTTTTGCATCAACATCCTCCATGGTCTCTTTGTGTTCCAAAGTTTTGCATCACCACCTAATTTGGATCGACTGCCATTATTACTTTACCCAATTACTTTTCAACCTTAGCTTGAAAGTCCCTGAACTTGTCAAAAGATTTGCTCTTTTGGTGCAATAGGTACACATAACCATATCTCAAATAATTGTCAATGAAAATGACATAATACTTGTACCTTTCTCGTGCCTTGACATTCATGGGACCACAAACGTTAATATGCACAAGTTCTGGAACCCCTTTGACCCTACTACTCTTAGACCCAAATGGTCTTTTAGTCTTGCCCTCCAAATAAGATTCACACTTTGGTATGGACTCAACCTCTAAGAAACTAAAAGGTCCATACTTTCTCAACCTCTGTATTCTGTTTAGGCTAATGTGACCAAGTCACAAATGTCAAAGATGTGTTTTATTAGAGTGAGAAGTCTTACGTTTTTTAGTTACTGTTAACTTCAGTGTTATGCAGTGAGTCTACCTTATGTTTAATAAAGTATAAATTATTTTTACATCCATCCATCACAGATAAAAAACTTGCTTTTACTAATCACAACTTTATTGTTAAAAGAAAGTTAATAAGAGTCTTTAAATAAACAAGTGACAAAAATAAGATTTCTCTCAAACTGAGGAATATAAAACAGTCTCACAAAACTAAATGCCTATAACTATCAAAATAAAGACGGACATCTCTCACAACTTCATCCAACACAAGAATTCCATCACTCATCCTTAACATGAAGTTCTCATTTTGAAGACTTCTCATTTGTTTGAACCCATGCAGAGAAACATACACATGATTAGTCGATCCAGAATCTATGACCCGGGTATCACTGGATTCTTCAACTAAACATGCCTTAATAATTAAAAGATTGCACTTACTTCATTTGTCTTTAAAGGCCATGTAGTCATTGTAATTCTTCTTCATGTGGCCCACCTCCTGCAATGAAAGCACTT